TAGACGTCCCAAAGCGCTTCACAAAATATACTGTAAAGTGAATTGACTGTATATTTGTGGGCGAACGCGGCAGCCAATTGCGCACAGCAGTGTCCCACAAACAGTCATGGATTGAAAATGACCAATTTCTTTTTTGGAGGGTTTATTATTAGGCGTGCGGAGTAAGGAAACTTGCCCAAGGTAAGCTGTACGTGGGAGTTATCAGACGACACTGCTTTTGGCTGTTTCAGGACATGGGCTTGCATCTGATTATGTCCCAAGTACAATACCTCCAAAACATCTGCAATTATTCCTGAACCATTATTCAATAAAGGTGCATTTCACTGAGCTGGGATGTATCCATGTTGCCCTAAATCCCTAAAGCTATTAACCACCACACGTGAAATAGATTAGAGAAAGCACTGATATCTAATGCACAGATATTATGAGATTTTTACTGAAGAAATTATCCCTGAGGGTAGATGTTAGAATATTATGCTGCTGTCTATGCACATCAGAAACAACAATATGCATATTGTTGCCTAAGTTGTTCATTATTGCCCTTTCATATTAAAATGTTATGCAAACTTTTTTAAGTGTTTTCTTTTGAATGCTGCCTTGTCAAATTTCCGATTTCATATAATGAACACTCCAGGGATTAAGTTAGACATTTGGAATCTGGTTTCTCTTCTTGAAATATCTGGATTCATCCATCCTTATTGGTGATTTGCATGAGTTACTTCCTTTATCCCATATGTGGCATTTCCACTGTATACTTGCTGATGAGACCCTCGACAGCATTGGTCCCACAAGGATAAACATTCTGGCTAAAGGCCTATAAAACTGTGCGTTTTGCTTTCGGGAAAGCTGGAGGTATCCTTTCTGTGCACCTATTATAGTGCTAATGAATTATTCTGTTGATGATTTTGTATAATGTTAGCTGCTTCTGAATATTGGAAAAAAAACTTATGCATTTTCATGCTTAATTTGGTAATTAGTGTGAATAATTCAGAAAATATGTTTTTCTGGCATTTCAGGAGTGCCGAAAGATCAGATCATGCCAATAGCTGACACTCTTTTGCTTATAAATATTCAATTGTTATTACTAAAATTGTTTAATTAAAAATATTTATTGTTGAACCTGCGGTGTGGCCTGGAATGGTGACAGATAGGTCATGTCTTTCAAGTTGCAATTCCCAGTCTCAGCCACTCTTCTGTAGTGGAAGTTTGGAAGAGTATAAACAAGTAGATTGAGAAATTGTCATTGAGTCCATCAAATCCATCCGCATACTGTGGATTTACTTATTATAATAATATTATTATAATAATCTTGCATTTGCTAATGTTGTATTTCACTTTACATTAGGGAACCTTATTTAATTCACTAAGGGATTGTTATGCTAAGTTTAGGAAAGATAGTGGAGCCAAACTTCAGAATATCTATCTATATATCCCTCCCTCCCTCCCCCCCCCCCCCATATCTTTACTGTTGAGCCCTGGCTAATTTCTTTGTTAGTCACAACTGCACAGGAATCATCATGCATTAAAACCTGTAGCTCAGTGATTAGAGCACACACCTCACAAGCGAGAGACCAGGGTTCAATTTCCGGCAGGGCGAAATGTTGGGCAAGTTTCTTTACTCCACACACCTCTGTTTACCTAGCTGTAAGTAGAAACCTGGTTGTTAGTCGATTAGCTTTTCCGGGAGTAATAATTCCTTCAAAAAAATAAATTAATAATAAATTGGTCACTTCAATCCACGACTGTTTGTGAGACACTGCTGTGTGCAATTGGCTGCCACGTTTCGCCCACAAAATATAGTCAACTCACTTTACAGTATATTCTGCGAAGCTCTTTCAGACGTCTCAAAGATGTGATAAGATGCGATATCAAGTCTCAGGATTATTATTATTATATATGAATCACCCTCTACCAGTCGTATTCCTATCATTCTCAATCTGATTCTTAATAAGATAATTACACAGTTTGTTTTACTTTGAGTCTATTCCACATAATCATATTGGGAGGGGGAAGAGAATTATTACGTTTTCCAGTATTGTGGAAGGTTGTTTATTTTTAGGCTGAGCTCCATGGGTTGTATGTTTCTCCGAAGTTAATGCAAAGAGATATTCTTCCAAAGACAAAACTTGAGGTGATCAGAGTCAACCCATGCCAAACTTTCTCAGATTCTGACAAAAGTGGCATAACAGGGGTGTAAGGAACAGGTTGTGTGCCTACTATCCTAGTGGGAAGAAATAAAATAACTTGCTTAAAAGGAGGGGCGATGAATTTTAAAAATGGATGTCATTTTCAAATTGAAACCTATGTTCTTTCTGGAGTTCCAACCATCTCTATCAACCACTGCCGATGCTGCACTATAGTGTCTGTGTGAGATAGACAGATCTCCTTACTGAATTTAGTTCCCTCCGTGGTGTGCCATCAAGTAGCCTGATGGACATCAGAGAAATTCTGACAGTTTACCTATTGCTGCACTTTGTGACAGTTTAAGGTTGAATTGAAATTGGGAGTATTCTGAATAGCAATGACAAAACTATACTATTTGCAACTACCATACTCTGCACAGGCTGACATTTCAGTGCAGTGCCAGGGGAACACTACACTATCAAAGGTGCAACACTCTGGATCAGTTGTAAAACTGAGATCTCCAATCCTGTCAGCTGGTCCTCAGGAAAAGAAAGATCCCATGACACGAATTTGAAAAGACAAAAGAATTTCTCCCCTGTCTGGGATGAATCAGTCATTCATCTCATGTGTGTTGTGGGACCTTGCTGTGCACAAGTGGTTGCTACGATTGCTACAGATATACAATCCGTTCACTTCACAACAATTGTCTACAACGGTCTTTGAGACATTTTGACAAGATGAGGTGCTGTATCAAGTTCAAGGATTACTTATTATTATGAATAAAGTTACAGAAAAGCATGATCACCATTTTTCATTGTAATTTTAGTGCTTACCAATAAGTATGTTCTAAACAAAGCCTTTACAATGCGCTCAGCCATCATTTGGGAAACCTGCCTATTGCCAGCCAAAGCTCAGGGGATCTTAGGTATTGGAAATTATGCTGATGTCTAAAACCTGGTCTCCTGCATGTGTTGGATGTGATCAGCCGTGTATGGAGAGGAATAAAAAGAGCATAATTTTAGGAATAATTAGGAATCTGTTCTGTCACTTGGGGTTGCCCCTCTGCTTGGTTTAATGTGTATTCTGTTTGATCTTTGATCAATTTTGCATTGCCGTAGCCTCTAGCCCTACTAATGTAGTGTTGTCAGTCAGGCACTGTGTTCACAAACAATCCAGACTTATTCTTATGCGCGTATATAGACTGATGAATAAATTGACCTTACATATTTTCTTTGAGAAGAAACTTACACATTTTCTTTGAGAAGAAACTTTCTTCTCTTTTCAAGTAGTGCCATGGGATCTTTAACATTCACCTGAACAGGCAAATGGGACCCCAGTTTAATCTTGTCCGAAGAGGGCACCTCCGACATTGCAACACATCCCCAGCATTGAATTGGAGTGTTATCAGACTTACACTTTGTGAGTTCAAGTCCTGAAGTGGGATTTGAACCCACATCTCAAACTCAGAGGCGCGAGTGCTACTAGTGAGCCAAACTGGTGTTTTTTACAGCTGATGTTCCGTTGCAGGAGACAGCAGCTGTAGATATACTGCAAAAGTCACATGTTAATTACATACACTGTAAAATGCTAATTAAATCCTCACATTAAATCCAGGTAAAGATTATATTTAGTCCTTTAGCTCTGAATAAAAAGAGCAGTATTAACAGAGTTGAAAAGGTTTGCTAATTAATGGAGAAAATTAAGTGATAAAACCTCAAAGACATGTCTGTGTGTGGTTTGAATAGTACATTTATTCAGAATCCTTGACATTCATCATGCTTGAAATTATTGAAAATATTGAAAATAACTAGGTACGTTGATCATGAAGTGTTGAGATGAAGCAGAGTAATAAATATACACACATCAAACCCTTTATCTGGGGCTGAGTACTGATGAGGCCTTAATTACCAGACAGTAATTATCACTTAGTAATTATACAGTGTGTGATTGCCCTTTGTAACAGAACAGTGCATTAGAAAAACATTAAGGGCATTTTTGTTTACGGGGAGATAACAATAAATTTATATGAGTGGGGAAACAGCAGCATTAAGGCTTGCATGCAAGGTGCTCACAATTGGTTTATTAAGGGCATCATTGCAGTGTAATAATTCTTTTGTGAGAAAACCCTGATGGACAGACCAGTCCCTCCTCCTGTCACAGGAGCACACAGAGACTCACTTGATATTCAGTTCCAGCCCAAAGCAAGTCATTAAATCAGAAGAGCAATGACGCTGGAGTTTTAGAGTCTGACTTCACTCAACATCACCATGCAAAGGATGTTCAGAGCTCTATGTGCTTTCCTTGTCTGTGCCTTCTCAATGATGACCAATTTGTGTTCATTACTTTGCATCAAGTACAGGTAAAATCGGGTGCCCACATGCCTTTTGCAGACTCAGATTTGTTTAGCTCGAATCCTCCTATGTGATGTTTATATTCTTCCTTTCGGGGCCTGATTTTGAGGCCTTTTCATGAGCAATTTCTATTGATTTTTCCCTTTCTCAGTAGCTGTAATTCAATTTAGCCTTTATTGCTACATATTGACCTGAAAGCTATGGGCAGACTGTTTAATTTCTGTTTAGCTTTAGAGGATTCGATTTGCAAAAGTGTAGCTTTGTTATCTTTTAAAACTTGTGAAGATGTGGCTTTGATACCCTTGAAAAACTCCAGAAGGAATCTAAATTAGTAATGGTTTGAATTCTTGGATTACTTTTTGAAAGACTCGAAAAAGCATTCAGTGGTTAACAATGAGGAACCAACTTAGAGTGGCATTGTGCCAGGGATCTATTTACAGGCCCCAACAATTCAAAAGCTTGAATTCCTGTCTGGGCATAGACTTTTCCAGGGAATGACCATCTTATTTGTTTTTTGCTCTGCAGAAAATGTTTCCAGACAGCTCACTTTTACGTGGAGGATAGCAATTCTCCCCGCGTCGTTCCCAATGAAACCATTCCTATTATCCCAATTCCAGGTAAGTGAATTATGCCTTGCTTATTCTTTTAAGATGCTGAGGTTTTTTTTTGCATGCTCAATGCAACTACAAATCTGCAAATACCATTGAGCTCAGTTTTATATTTACACAAGCAATTTGCAGTTCACAAATTCCCTTTGAAGTCTGCCTTCTTTTCAGGTAACAATGTGTGTCAGTGCTCTTTGTGAATATGGGTCCTGTGGCACACTTTTTTTTACATTTAAAGGTAATTTTAAAAAAAGCTTATGTATTTTATTTCATTAACAGAAAACGTCAGCTAGAAATGTTAGCTGGAATGTCTTGGCCACCTCACATTGAAAATGTCATATTCTGATTAAATCATTAATTGATATTTCAAGTTTGTCAATAGAAGTAAATGATTTATGGGCTTGCTGAATGCAGAGTAGGATTGATTTCATGTAAAAATAAAATTCTGTCAAAATTCCAAACGTGGTTTACAACAAGCTATTTTGACATTGTTTAAGCTGGTTGGTGGGAAAGAAGAGTAGGTTGGTAACTTCAGAGGTCCATGTGCATAGAATGTGAGTGCACTTAACATATAAGGAATTCTGTTTAATGCATGTGTATTTATTATGTTTTTATGAAAATTGTAGTATTTTAGCCATTCACGATCATTTTGAACAGAGTGTGGATAACAGACAGATCATCTTGGACACATTGAAATTTCTGCACAATTTTTCATTATCATCTAGCAAGATAATGTAGAATAAATTTTAACAATGTCTGCTGGGTTTGGACAAATATTGAAACCATTTACATGTCTCAGTCAATATAATGCTGCTTCGTGGATTAGGGTTTCTCTTCGATTGCAGGCACTCAACAGCAAAAAGCAAAAATGTTCTGAATTTTCTTGTCTGTCAAGTAACTGTAAGTAAAGTGATAGACGGCAATGATTTGGTTATAAGCTGTAAGATTGTAAGAACGGAAGCCACAGTCCTTATGCTGCAACGCCTTCTTCACAGTACTGTCAGCAGACTTAATGTTAAAGACTCATTGCTACTTAACCCTTAAATAAGAGGGCAAAGATTTTACCAGTTTGTAGCCATCTACAAAGATATTTTTGAAAGCTAACTTTAGAGGATTTACAGTTTATTTTACTTGCAGCACCTTGTTCATAAGTTCATACTAGTAGCAGTGTAGCAGATGTAGCAGTGAATGCATATTGCTTTATTGCTCTGTGCAGTAACAAACAAGGTTGCCTGGATAAATTATCTTCATTGACTGACTGTCATGGATTTTCATTGGTTGCTGTTGATCAGCATCTCCTGTTTACTTTGAATAATTGTTGCAAGGCTGTATGTTGACACGGTTACATTAGCCTAGAGAAGCGCTTTGCAAATACATGCAGGGCTCCCACTGTATCAGCAGTACTCGCTGAATTTTTGGTGCTATTGTGTTTTTTTTGTACTTTAGTTTTTTTTCATTTCCTGCAAATTGTATATAGCAGCTGCATGGCTAAAATTCCACTCGCACTACACATCAGTTAGAAAATGGCAAAATTCACATTTCTTACCCAGACTCGACATTCTTCAAGAAATCTGTGACAAATTATAAATTAGCTTATTTTATTTCAGCAAATGATTTGTAAATTAATTTCCAATATGGTTTCAGCTAACATCTGGAGTGTCGTTAAACAAATGATTTAGTTACTGCATTGGGAGAAGGAGTTCAGACTTCAACTGACTGGGTTGAGGGCATAACTGCAGCTCCAAGTCTCATTGGTGAGCCAGACAAGCCAGTCTACCATCACTGGTGCCTTGCAATGCTGCAGACCTCTGGCTTATACAGACATGTCTGCTCAGAGCAAGTTCAATCTTGTGGAGACCTACTTGCCTCCACTCCTTCACCCGCCCTTCACAACCCCACACAGAATATTTTAGGCAATGTTACTCATTTTGTCAATCTCAAAAACAACAACTTGCATTTATATAGTGCCCCTCATGCAGGATAGTGTCTCAGAGCTCTTGAAAAGGAGAGAGGCTGAGTGAACCTCTAGTCCCAATTCCAGTAGTCAACCAAATGGGATGATTTTTTTTAATGTAGAACCATATTCTCAATTTATTGAGACGTACATAGCAACAGTGTGAAGACTTTTATTAAACTGGAGTGTGTTCAGTTACTTAGCAACCAAAGACACAGCAGCATGCATTTCAGCAATTGGCATTGTGTAAATCTTGATAATGGTACACTAATTCCCTTTTCTGGATCATTAGTAGAAAAAATACAAAATTTGTTTCTATTTTCATTCTCGTTGCACAACAGTTAGCTAATCTATAATTCCATTTGCAGCATAATCTGCTGTTGCAGATAGCCAGTTGCAGTTGGAACAGTATTTGAAGGAATTAGTGCAACCTTCAAAAAATAGTATGAATATTCTGCTGTACATCCACCAGTGTAAAAGAATATCTGAAAAGAAACTTGAACCATTGGTGTATTAAACATCATGGGAAGTTATTTTGATCATTGCTATATTGCTCAATTCAGTGTTTTGACCCAAGTTGAGCCCTGAGGTCTTTTCTTCAGTTACCTCTGATTGCTTCCAATGTTTAAAACTTCTGACTTGCATAATACTGTATAAGAATAAAAATTTCAACAACTCTTAACAAGAGGGGATGGTGGGGTAGACAAACTCCTCTGTGCTTTTGCAACTTTTGTCTTGAAATTCCCTTGTGTGCCATAGAGCTGTGGGGAGTCAGCTGGGCAATCCTCAATACAGAGGGAACATCCTTAATTCAGAGCAGTCTCAAGGCTACACTTGAACTTCAATGTTCTCAAATGAGGGTAACACTAGAGATGTTTTGGTTCTATTTTGCTACAGGATCAAAAGGACTTTGTCACAGCCAGAGCTTGTAAATTAATTTGTGTCACTTAATGGGATAAACAAGTTCATAACCTGACTATAAAAAGAATGAGTGAAATGAATATCTCGGAAGCAAATAAATACTCTGGGTAGCATATTAGGTTTGTCAGTGCTGTACATTCTGAGTTGTCCAAAATTGTTAGTTTATGAAATTATTACAATCAAATCAGAACTAAAATGTCAGGCCAGACTGCACTGAAGATCAGATACAAATACAAAGACTAGAGGCAGAGTGAATGCAAGAATGAGGGTAATTTGGATTATGCAGGATGAAATTATGAGTGTTTCTTGTCGTGAGCATAATGTGTATTTTATGGATTTAAGTTTATATGTGAGATGTAGAATATGATACTTTACAGTACGCTTGAAACGGCATCATCACATAATAGTTTTTAAATTCTATTTGGGGACATCATTAAAATATTGAGCTTCTGGGAAAAATATGCTTTATTTTGAAAGTGACATAAAATTAGAGGAAGAAATGATTGAGCATACCATAGCCCATGCAAATACAATGGAATCCGCTTTTATCCGATGCCGGTTAATCCCAAATGTCGGGTAAATCTAAATAGATGTTTTAAATATCCCGGTTGATTAGGACAAAAATGCGGTTACTCTGGGCAAAATAGCGTACTGGTCACCGCTGTGTTTACTCTCTCAGGCCTTCTATGTGTCCAGAAGCTGCATTTCAACCACAAGGGGCTCCTGGATATAAATGGGAGGAGTCAAATTACGATTGACAGTGGACTCCAGCCAATCACAAGCGGCTGGAGTTGGGCTGTTAATCATTGGGGGGGGCGGAGAAATGGGAAAGAACAAGGGAGGGACTATCATGATTGATTGACAGCTGAGCTGCTTGTGAATGGCTGGAGCCCATCCACTCACAAGCGTCTGCAGGCTGTCAATCACCTCTAATCCGCCGCTAATTGGTGCATTCCCGTCCAATGGGAGGGAGGAAGCACCGCCTCACCTCTGCTGGGCAGTAAAATCCTGGACTATATTTTGCAGCCAAACAAAGGAAAATATATTGTACTGAATTGTGTGAGAGTATTTTTAACTTTAACTGGTTAGTTAACATTGCTTCAACTGAAACAACATTATTACATATTATTATACTGCAATTGAAGGGCAGTAAATTCAGAATAAATCCACAGAAACACGACTTCAGCGAGCAAGTAGTAAACTTATGGAACAAGCTCCCTCGGGAGACAGTGGAAGCAAAAAATGTAATTTGTTTCAAGAATAAATTAGCTAGATTTCTGCTAGAAAATAATATCTCGGAATACAGCATATAGTTTGGGACACGATACATCAAGCGACTGCCAGGATGGTGTACGGCGAACTAGATGGATGCACCTTGGTCTTCTTTCACCTAGTAAACTCGTATGTTCTGTACGGTGTTGGCAGTGTTCCTCTGCTGGATGGGGATGGTATTTCAGCTAACCTCAGATACCCCTTGTGCCGAACAAAATGGCGGTCCCCAATGTGTCCGTCTGAATCGGCTTCCATTGTATAAAGGGATTTATCAATGATGTTTACCATTGTTCAGTTATTAATATTTTGACTAAGTTCTTCTTAACTAATGACATTCTGAACATCTGTGATCAGGCCTCCCTCCTTGTACTCCTCGACCTCTCTGCCGCCTGCGACACTGTCGACCACTCCATCCTCATACACTGCCTCTCCGCTTTACTTAATCTTCACGGATCTGCCCTTGCCTGGTTCGATTCCTGTCTCTCTCACCGTCTCCACTTTGTTGCTTCTAACGGTTTCTCCTCCAGCCCCCGCACTGTCACGTCTAGTGTGCCCCAGGGCTCTATCCTTGGCTCTTTCTCTCCTCTTTAATATCTATATGCTCCCCTCTTGGTGACATCATCCACAGACATGGGGTCAACTTCCACATGTATGCAGATGGCACCCAACTCTACCTTTCTGCCTCCACCCTCAACTCCAGGACCACTGCTGACCTGACAGACTGCCTGTCGGACATCAAGTCCTGGATGAGGGCAAATTTCCTACAGTTGAATGTGAACAAGACTGAGGCGCTCCTAATTGGCTCGCGCCAGCACCTCAGCACCTCAGGCTCTGGCAACATCAACCTCCATGGTTACACACTATAACTCACCAAGCCAGTCAGGAACCTAGGTGTCTTGTTCGACCCTCAACTGTCTTTTCTTCCCCACATCCAAGCCATGACCCGCTCTGCTTTCCCTCACCTCCGTAACCTCCGCCCAACTCCGCCAATACCTCCCCCTCAGACCACTGAAACTCTTGTTCATGTCTTCATCACCTCCAGGCTCAACTATGCAAATGCCCTGCATGTCGGCCTTCCCAACTCCTCCCTCCACAGGCTGCAGATAATCCAGAACTCTGCATCTCGTGTCCTCTCCCGCACCAGACTCCGTGACCCCATCTCCCCCATTATCCCCCGACTCCATTGTCTCCTTATCCTTCAGAGGATCCAGTTCAAGATCCTGGTCCTCACATACAAAGCCCTCCATGGCCTCCCCCCACCCTACCTCTGCGACCTCCTAAACCCCTACAAACCCGCCGGCTCCCTTTGCTCAGCCGGCTCCGGCCTGCTCCACATCCCCCGACCCACCCGCCCCACTATTGGCGGGAGAGCCTTCAGCCACTCTGCCCCCAACCTCTGGAATTCCATCAGCCAATCACTCCGCCTCACCCCCTCCTTAGCCTCCTTCATGTCCGGCTTCAAAACCCTCCTCTTCGACCATGCCATTGCCCTTCCCCTCCCCTCCCTTCTCCCCCCCGTGACCCCAGCTCGGGTCTGAAATACTGTACACTGTCCAGCACCTTGAGATGTCCTCCCAACATGAAAGGCGCTATACAAATGTAATCTTGTTGTTGTTAACAATTTCCAACAAGAATTTCAGGCATCCAGTGTTGATTGAAAAGAACCTCTTTAACAACTGCTCTACTGCAAATCAATGTTTTTATGATGCTTTTTCAGTGGACAACAAAAACAGCATATTGCTATTAGTATTATAAATAATAATCATCCTTGCATTTGATATAGCGTCTTATCAAGTCTTCTAGACGTCTCAAAGCACTTCACAGAATATACTATAAAGTGAATTGACTGTATATTTGTGGGCAAAATGTGGCCACCAATTGCGCACAAAAGTGTCCCACAAACAGTCGTACCTTTCCCGTCGGGACGATATCCCAAAAATGGAAAATGGCAACCAAAACCTATCTCAGTATGCGCTAGAATGCACTAATATTTACAAACAAAGCAGTATGTAAAGTATAATTATTTTGGGCCACCAAATGCAGTTCCCATCCTTTCTGCAAGTCTGTAGCTTATCAGATATGTCTGAACTCCTTGTACAGATGTTGTGAGGCCAGGTGCCGTTTCATTGCAGCTGACTTTCCACTGCATCCCGAGTGCAATCCTGTGGTGGAGGATCCATATCAGCCCAGCAACTTATCAATTCTGTAAATATAAATACATTTTATTTCAAGTAAAGTTTGGTCCAAAATTAAGGCAAGCAGCTCCCTTTAATTAACAAACCTCAGTGTTCCTGTTAAATAGTGACTTTACCAATACAATGAAACATTTTCAACGTAAAGCCCAATCACCCTAGGGAAAAGTCTCCATTCCTGTTGTACGTGTCTGACACTCGTCAGAAAGCCAGAGGTCATACATTTAAATAATGTCCCTTCTGGGTGTATTCCATTGGCAATTCTAACCTGGTGCTGTTAATTGATTCACAATGCAATACACTCCTAATTGCTTCCCATATCAAGTTGCTGTATGGTCCAACTGTGCCTTCAATAGAATGGGGTGACCCAGGTGTCAGATGGAGCTACTTTGATTAGTTTCTAAGGAGCAATCAGAAAGATACACAGATGGATTGCCCATGGATTTCCACACATATACAATCTTTAATTCAGCCAATAGCGTAACCTGCAGTTGAGTATTTTATTACAAGAGAGACATTCCTCTTCCTTCTCACCCTCAATTTCAGCTATTTGTTGTCACTTTCATTTTGTAGTTCAAGGTACTGTATCTGTTCTGAAATTAACATGCACAGCATCAATGCCACTCTATCTATAAGCATATTGTACTGTTTTGGTTTGATTAAGAGAATTGAATTTTAAGGGCTATTGAACCAAATAAGCCTGGGGATGTCAGTCATTGAGAAATCTGGAATAAATAATGATCCATTCATCTGACATTTTGCTTTCAACCATGTTCCACGGCTCAAAATGTCAATAGACAGAATTTGCTGAAGTGCCAGAGCTAAAAGGCAATGTTGAGAAAAGCAGTGAGATACAATGCTTTCAAACATGTCAGTGATGGAGATCCTTTCCCCCAGAGTTGCCTTAATTTCTACTGATATTGTCCTATGTTTCAAGGGAGTTTTATTTAGCATATTGTTCTAATACACTTTTGAGTTTTCAAATGTCAGTTAAGAATGGAGCTTTAACCTTTGCGAATGATTTGAAATCACTACTTTGTTTCCTCTTTGAAATTCCACTTACACTTACCTAATGCCTGAGGCTTCATTTTTCACAAGTTTGATTGGAATTTGCTGTTTGATCTAGAAATCTTTAAACCACAGTTTTTGTCCAAATCAATTCAAAATATTTTAATCCTCCTGACATGAAAGGCACTATATAAATGCAATTTGTTGTTGTTGTTGTCAGATTCATACTGTTTGTATTTCCGATTGAGGTACTATGTTTTATGAGTTTTACATAATCTCACTTTTTTTTATTTTAGTACTAGGATTTTGATTCCTATTGCATTCAAATTTAATTGTCTGCCCAGAAAAATCAAACCAGATTTGTTAACTTACTCCAAATGCGCAAAAAAGGTTCTGCATTGTGTAACCCCTCTGTGGAAATGAAGCTAATATTCGGCGATGCTTTGTTCTGAAGAATTAATTGTTTCACGCCTAGCGCAGGTGTGATTCTGCTCCCATCATTAAATAAATAATTGGAAGCTCTCAATTCCCACCGGATTGCTTTCCTAGTTTAGTTAAAATGTAATTCTGCTGTGTTTGAGTCTGCTTCCCACATGTGCTTTGTTTTGAATTTAACACCTTCAGATTTGTAGAAAAACAAATTATCTGTCCTGTTCTCCTACACAGACCTCTGTGAATTGCTTAGCAAAATCCTAATGCTAATTCTTCTCAATTCCCCCCCCCCCCCTCCCTCCCCCCACAGATGACATGGAGGCCATTCCAGTCAAGCAGTTTGTTAAGCATATCAATGAACTGTGGGCCAATAATCAACATGGATTCTCAGAAGAATTTGAGGTACGTCAACTGTTCCAACAGTTATAAAACTTGTTTTTTTTGTCTCTCTCGGTGTTGTGCACTAGATAAATTGAAGGTTTTCAGCTTGTAACTGATTTGTATCGGTTCATTATGTGATATCACTTAAATGAAGTTGTAAAGTGGAAGCTAGGGTAGTACTGAAGATGCAAGTTCAGTACATTCCTTTTTATTGTAGCTGGTAGTAATTGGTAACTTCCTGCTTCACATAATCTTACAATTGGCTATTTGTCCACGCATTTATCCAACTTGTACCTGTGTGAATTATGAAAAATGTCGCTGTATTTTTTTCTAGATGCTCCACACTTTCATTTTGTTCATTTGAAACACCTAGAAAAATCCCTGGAAGTTCTAGAAAAAAAATATCCTGGTGTCATTCTGTAAACGTATAGGTGAACGTATAGCGGAATTCAATACTGTGACATTTTAGATATACAGCATTTAAATGTGGAGATGCTTTCTTTATTGGGGGATCTGGTTCAGAAGGCACTTAAAAGTGCCTCTTGATATCAACCGTCTGTGACTGCACAGTTTTTGCATTTCCTGCTTTAGGGCTGGAAAATACTTCACTGGTTTAAGCACAGCATATGTCTGCATCTTGGAGCACTCTCATGAAGAAGTGTTGCGGAAATTTGGATTGGAGTGGTGCTTGTTCTTCTGCATGTCATCCCTTTCAAGATTCAAAGAGCCTCATGATATCCACTTCCTGCATTCTACGATGTGATCTCTTCCAGCTGCTGTGCTTCATTGACTGTTTGTGTATTTTGTAAAAGAAATCTCTCTTTTTTCCCCCTCCTTGGTCCCAAAGTTTGCTTCCCAAATCCATGCAATTCTTATTCTTATTTTCGCAGCAGTGTGAAGTGTTTATAAGAAAAAGAGCTGAGGCAGACATTTTGAGGGCTTACAAAGGACTTTTGCTTGTCCGGTTTGTGAAGAATCCAGTGTATTTTGGATCGGTGGGTCTTTCACTGTAATTTCATAACAATATTAAAGAACACACGAAAATCAATTTAGTTCTTGGAAAATAGTCTCCTAAACAGGACCTAAGGAAAATCGAAAATTCCAATAATTCGAACACATAACAAATGTTAGCAAGATAAAGTTATTACCTGAAAATTATTTTATCACGGCTCTTGTTGATCTATGAATACTTTCCTAGGCTTGCTCCTTTAGTCACTACATTTCTAAGTTTAGTGATCCTAATACTACTTTCAATTACATTTGCTCTCTTAATACTCTGTCACAAGCCTGCATAGTACACAGTACTGCTGTCAGAAATGGTGTATTACCATCATTGCAAATGGCATAGAATTCTACCCCACTCCCCCCACCCCATCCCCGACATTAAGTCTATGACGTTTGTACTGGTGATTTATTCACTTGCTAAGTATTCAAATGATTGGAATTTTCAATTTTTCTTACGTCCTGTAAATGGAGACTATTTTCCCACAGCTAAAAATTGATTTTTGCGTGTTCTTCAATATTGTTATGAAATTACAATGAAATTTCCACTGATGCAAATACACTGGATTTTTCACAAACCAGACAAACAAAAGTCCTTCGTAAGGCTTCAAAATGTGTTTCAACTCTTTTTCTGATAAACACCTTAAACTGTTACAAAAATGAATATGGCTGGAATTCGGAACACAAGATTGAAAGGTGATGGAGCACAACAGCCATTTGGATAAATTAATTCATTTTTCATCACACATCCTGATTTGTTTATAAGATGAAATTATTCGGTAGTACATTTAATAGTATAACAAATAGATGTGATTAATAGCAATAGTCTGCCAGATCATGAATAATAGATTTGAGCTGGTTTGAGTTAGATCATCTTGATCAAATGCAATTCTCTAGGGCCAAATGTTTGTCCTGCATACTGTCAACACAATTAAAAGCCTCTGTATCTCTGCTCAATCATCATTTGGTCTTTCAAAGTAAATAACTTCCCATCTGTGCACTTCTACTGTCTTCATAAATAGCAAAATATATGTTAAGGTGATGTGTTTATTATAAAATAATGTCTTACATGTCTTCAATGCAGCCATATTTATAGTAGACTTTGTGTTTTTAGCTAAATTAATGCAGTCATCGAGATCTAATATATATTTGATGTAATTTTTTTTGTTTGTTTGCAAGCTATATTCTCCCTGTCGACCCCCGTTTCCCCATCCTTGCCAACAGTAGGTCCTCCATTATCCATTTCCCTGACAATAAGGTGGCCAGGCAATCTGTGTAAGAGTGACCCAGGGTAACACTTTCACTAACATTTACTCTCTCTCTCTTGCTGTCTGGTCACTGCCTTCGGATGACTCTGCCCAAATTGGGTTCTTGGTATGTTGAAGACCTGTGTCCTTGCTCTGCGTGGTTCAGTGTTAAGTTCACTGACTTGCTACAATACTGCGCTGCTAATTGCATTTCTTGTTTTTTTTAATCACGTTTCCTTCAGGCTGCCTTGATTACTTTACAATATCTTGTTTTAAACCTTACTGCAGTCTGTTTCTAAAGGTCAGTTTTGTGAATCTGTTGTGAACAATTGGTATGCTTTGTTCTGAATTTTTATGTTATTTTGCAGTCAGAATAAAGATCTATATACTGCAATACCTGAAGCTGGCAGACAATTTTTAACTGATAGACAATTGTGTAAAAAGCTGTAATGTTTAGGAAGGGTTGTCTTTCTAAATAGAGCATTCAATAATGTCTAAAGCTTTTCATGGTACCTTTTGCCATGTATATTAACATGGATATGGGAATGTATCATTGTTAACCCTCTTGTTTACTGGAGCCCGGGCTGTTTACTGGGTTCATTAAATGTGTCCATTGAAATCTCAATCTCTTGTTAAAAGAGCGAGTTTTGCTATGCGATTACTGCGTAGATCCCAGAACAACTTTAAAGTACATATGTTTACGTAGAGTTATGTTTAAAAAAAATGTTCAACATCTGACATTTGTGATTAGAGAAATAAAGGTGAACTTGCTTCTCAATATAATCTGTCTTTCATATAATTTGTGAGAAAAGTCTGGATAATTCAGAAGCACAATCCACATGATGGTTGTGAGTAGGGAGAGGAGGAAGGAATGGAAATAAACTGGACGGATAATCCAGGGAATGAGAGTACAGGGCACCTGAAGCTGCCCTTCACAAGATCTATATTTATGTGATTTACATTTACCAGTGATTATGTTTTACCTGTTGTCAATTGTGTGTTGTCACATAACCTTGACTCATTTTGGATCATGAGTATCACAGCTCATGATGTAAATCATATGTGCGGTATAAACCAACTGAAATAAAAGTTTGCCATAAAATGTATTTTATATAATCCCTCGGCCATAATTTACCTCCCTTCTCCCCACACAAAAACATTATATAACAGATTATTCTGCTTTTCTTAATGTGGTTTTGACTCAATTTTGATTCTGAAATTCATATGGAGAAAATTCGTTATTTAGTTTCTTTGGTGTGACATCTTCCTCACTTGTTAATTGCCTGGATCTTTCTTTCAACACAAAATGATCAATCTGTATCCAGTGTAATACTATTTACATTCCATCAGAAATAATGGATGGCGGGTGGAGAAATAAAGCTTTCTTTTACGAAGAGAGTTAGAAATGTGCATCATTACTGATGTAACAGTAATGTCACTGAAATGTTATTAAACTTCCTTTCCTGGAAGCACAACCTCCTGTTGACGTTCTCTCCTATGGCACACTGTAAAATGCATTATATTCAAGCCTTTGGACATATTCTGCATTCTCACAAGTCAACGGTTTAAATTATTGTGGAATATTGTTGTCCTGAAAGTGAAGTATTGGAAATCCACAACAGGTAAATTGGCATTGAAAAAGAGGAAAAATAGGTTAACGTTACAGATACAATCCTGCTGCAGAACTGAGTCCCCAAAATGTTAAGCTATTTTTCTCTTCACATGCTGATTGATCTTCTGTGGATTTCCAGCGTTGATGTTTTATTAAAGCTGTGTCTTATGATGTGAGCTGAAATGTCAAATCTGTGTTGATGGGGAGGGAATTTTAGCATGCAGTTAGGTAGATTTACTTAGAGTGGATATTTAAGATATTGCCAGTGAAAATGAAAACTCCTTCTCACCTGCCTCAGCTTTAAAAATAAAAGAGAGCTCAGACAATGGCATTTCTCCATAGTATAGAATGTAGATTTGTGCTGCAGTTCATGTGAATGAATAGGTGTAAATTTCACAATAAAATATGACTCACCAATTTATTATTGAAGTGGATCAGGACATTTTTGTAATGTGCAGTAAATAGAAATCAGGTTCCCTGCTCATGCAGTGTGAGACACTGGAATATAGGGCATGCAAAAACCTCACCTTTGTAGTTTTCTATTTGTTCTATGCAGATCTGCATCCAAGCAGTCTATTAATGCTTTTTCTTTTGGATTCAGTTAAATTTGGCTTTTCCTATTCTTGTCATGTATATGTTTTATTTGCTGTGGTATACTAACACCCAGTCACTTAGCAACCCCACAGAATAAATTGCTGTGCCAAACAGAATGCAATGTTCCATTCCAGGAGAGGTTCAGTAATCAGTTGGTTGTGTTGAATAAGATACGTGACTTTCATAGATTGAATAAAGCAAAAGTTAATCAGACGCTTGTTTAAGCAATACTGCTGATAAACACGGATACACTGCTAGAAGGATTCATCCTATTTGTTCCCTGTTCATTTGGAAAGAAATTGCTGCCTCTTCACCCAAACGGCATTATTCACTGCACGAAGACTAGAGTGTCATGATGTGCAATGGTATTTGTGTTGTGCTGGTGCTTTTCTGTTCAACTGGAACTGACAGAACTAAACTGTTCCAAGACCACAACCGTACCTATTGCAGGACTGCGCTGAAGGTTCATATGTATGTTTTGCTGCTGATTGCAGTAACATGAACATGAGACTAAAATTTGAGCACAATGGAGGTATTCAATTCCTTGAAATTCACTAGACTGCCTCCTTCCCCCCCCCACCCGCTTTTCCCTTCCACTGGAGAATGGTCACATTTGTTTTGACATAATAGCAGCAGGGATTTTCTATTTAATGACATCTAAAATCATTTCAAAATTTAGTGACAACATGAGCATTACAAAAATTGTTATGCTAAGCAAATTGTAGGTAGTTTATCTATATTATCTGAACTCAGGATTGTAATTAATTGGTTTTCCGATACTAAATAAATCTTATTTTCTATCAGAACGGGTACTGGTATTTTCTCCAGTTAACAGTGATCTGCTCACACTATTAAAATATGTAATACCCAAGAGAGTATTCTAAAGTTGTAATCTAATTGAAAGTTGAGTTGTTCACATACTTCATCTGCATGTCAGAATAAAACAGCAACTGAGAAATTTCTTCTGGTAAAANTTTTTTTGAAGGTGATTGGATGGTGGACTGAGTTAAAATTACCATTTAATTAGGGTCCGTGAAGCCCACAAGACAAAACTGCAGATACATTGGCATTGAGACTGGACATATGTGCCAATTAGGTGACGAGAAAGTTGAAAAATCCACACCAGGGGCTGCTCTAAGATCGGTGTAAGGCACATTGCTGGGTGAAGTAAAAGCTTTACTGTGACTCTCGCCTGTACTATACTTAACCTGAGAACTACTGAACTAAAACTGCATCCTAAAGTAATAGGGTTCCATTCCCCAACACTGATACCCCTCATCATTGATGTGAGCCTAAACAATTATATGTTTGAAGAAAATTACAAGTTTATTTGAAATCTGACAACCTTCGGAGGCTTTTGACTATTGGAACCACAACTGCATATGACCGGGATACATTTGGTAGTAAAATACCTGTTCCTATATATTTTACATAACCTCTAAATAAAAAATACATGCAGATAAGATTAAAAATAGTAAAGCATATTGTAGAAAAGTTACAACTTTGATAACTTTAAATAAGATATTTGTTGAATTACATTTTCTGAGCTAAATTTGTAATTGTCTACTATATCGTAGCTTTATTACAGTGGAATCTGGATAAGCACATGCATGTTCTTTAATCCGGGTGATTTCAAAGGATTATTTCATTTAACTCCCATTGTTTTTTATTCAAGCATTTCTTTGCAAGTTAGCTGCACATGAATTCAGTTTTGATGAAGTAACATCCTATCTAAATCATCTTTCACATAAATCATTTTAATGCACTTTAGTTGAAGCGAGGATAGATTATTAATGATACTGTCCCGGTTTGAACATTTATTGTTGCTTCAATTTTCAAACATCTTTATGTGATTTTGTTTACATTTTTTCTAAACATTTTACCCTCAGTAGAGACAGAGTACCATGTTTGAATTATCTTGGTTGCTCATTTACAGAGCTGTAGATGGTGACAAATGGGTTGTTATGATAAGCGCACTTTTAAAGACTTCGGTAGAGTAGGCCTAGGCCTTGTGCTTGTAAACATTATCATTACGTTAGTAACCTAAAATATTTAACTGGAATATTAACTTGAATGAAAAAACGTTCTTCCCTTTAATATTACATAAGATGGAGGCTGGACCCACTAACTGGTATATCATAAATGCAATGCTGGGGCAGTGGGACTGAAACTTTGATCAGGTTTTCAAAAATACTGGGTAAAAATTACCAAATGCCCATTTGGGATTATTGGCCTAGCTTCCTGCACAGACTGCTAAATGAACCGTTTTAAGTGTTCCAATAATTATTAATCCATATACAATATAAACATTGTATATACGATTTTATAGTGTTTAAAAAGCAAACATATGTAAAGCAGACATATTTTCATGACAATAATGCCTAACCCTTCTACACTTGGTTTACACTACTCAAATATAAATGAATAAATTATACAATATCCTCCATAATATATTTCCATGGATAAGGGAAAGGGAAGTCATATTCCTACAAAAATACACTTGACAGCAATTCCTTATGACATTCTTTTTGAGATATTTTATCATGATCTCCCCAGTTCTGGCCGGGCTCCACTGGCTCCCCATCACCGAACGGATCGACTTCAAGATCCACACACTCATGTTCAAATCCATTCACTCACTGACACCTCCCTACCTCTCCGACCAACTCACTCCCCAATCCACCACCTGGCGCCTCAGCTCGACTGGCACCGGCCTCCTGCTCGTCCCTCTCATCCTCTGGAGGTCACTCTTTCAGCCACCACGCCCCAAAACTGGAACACTCTCCCTCAATCCCACCGCCTTGCCCCACCTCTCCCCTTTTTCAAGTCCTGCCCAAAACCCTTCCTTTTTGGCTAAGCTTACGGTCACCTCCCCTGCCTGGCTAGGAGTCAGGCATTATATTAGTGCAACTCGTCGTGGTTGTTATAGGTTTTATAGCAAACGCAAGGATTGTTATTTGTAAAGTGCATATGATTTTTATTTTGAACCAACATAAAATACTAGTTATTTGTTCCAGTAACTGAAATAAAACTTTTTTTCAAAACAAAGCCACCAGTTATATATTTCCATAATCAAAATATTTACTGCTGTGTAATTTGCACATCAAACATAAATTTTGGTTTGGTCAATTATTGTGCGTAGTGTCGTTTGTTTTGTTCTTATGTAGTAAATATGTTTGGAATCCTCATATAGGGAATAATTAAGATTTTTTTCCTGCCTTTTTCAATTTCCAGGAAGTGCAACGCTGCACAGCTGATATGAACATCACAGCAGAACATTCCAATCATCCAGATAACAAGCACAAAAATCGATACATCAACATTGTAGCATGTAAGACTACATTATATTATATTTCCAACACATTATTCAAATCTATCTTACTGAGGTATATAAAGAGTGTTGTAATTGTGGCCTTGGGGTTCAAATAGTATAAGGAAGAAATATAAGGGATGATATGCAAGTTTATTTCAGGAATTGTTTTGAGAAGTTTGTTTTACATGAAGGGTGTTATTTAAATGCATATTATAAGGCTTCTTGTCACGAAGTTAGTAACATTGATGATGTGCACTTGTAATGTGAAATATGAATATTTTGTCATTGCACTTAGCGATAAGAGGAATGTATTGCCCATAATATGTATGGAAACTGGGATTTATTTACCCAGAGATTTGATTTTAATTACAAATTCTGTTCAGCTTAAACATGAATTTCAGTTATTAACTCTCTAACAGTTGAATATTTACACTGAACTGCACCATTCACATAATACTTACTGTGGTTTTACAGCAATTAACATAGGTTTTACAATGAATTTTGCAGTTCAAGGAGATTATTCTTACTAGACTGACATTTCATTCCGCAGATGATCACAGTAGAGTTAAGCTAAGACCATTAGCTGGGAAGGATTCGAAGCACAGTGACTACATCAATGCCAATTATGTTGACGTAAGTTATTATTTATCAATATTTCTCTTATTTACTAAAATATGTATTCTCTTATTTCTCTTATTCACCAAAATACTGTATTGTGGAAGGAGGACAGGTATAATGGGGTACCTCTTTGAATCTATCTGTCCAGCACCTTGGGCCATCCACCTGACGTGAAAGGCGCATTCCAAATGTATTTTGTTGTTGCTGTTGTCTGAGATAGTAACACACATGACAATAGAAGATCAGAATAAAGTAAATCCTCTTGGTGCTCTCAGTCCCTCCAGAGCTCTGATGATGATGAAGGGTCAGCCAGCCTTGTTTGTTGGCAGGATTTGAAGAAGGAGCCCAGTATCTGGGAACTAGGATTCTTCCCACTTGGTCCCAGCTGCCCAAGCAGTGGGAAGCTTGTTGGCTTTGGGAAACCAAAGTAACAGGAGTTAAGCAGTCTTAGTCCAGTTCCTCGTGAATGTGAAGTACAAACCTGCCTATAATGTGAAGTACAAACCCGCCACTCCCTTCACAAACTCCACCAATCGGGTTTCCATGCCGCCACAGCACAGAAACAGCCCTGGTCAAAGTGACAAATGACATTCTGTCTATCTGGAACCAGGGCTCCCTCTGCCTCCTCGACCTCTCTACTGCCTTCGTCATCGTTGACCACTCTATCCTCATCCACCACCTCTCCTCTCACCTCAACCTTCATGGTTCTGTCCTTGAATGGTTCAGATTGTAACCTCTCACACCGCATCCACTTCATCTCCACAAATGGTTTCTCCTCTAGCTCCCGCACTGTCTTTTGCAGCATTCCTCAGGGTTCTGTCCTTGGTCCCCTCCTCTTCAATACCTATATGCTCCCTCTTGGTGACACCATCTGCAGTCAACTTCCACATGTATGCGGATAACACCCAACTGTACCTCTATCTTCCCCCTTGACACTAGGACCACTGCTGTCCTGATATAATGTCTCTCAGACATCAAGTCCTGGATGAGAGCTACTTTCTTCAGTTGAATGTCAACAAGACCGAGGTTCTCCTGATTTGCTACCGTCAGCTCAGATGCTGACCTCAGGCGCTGACAGCATCACCATCCATGGTTGCACTCCACCTTGCTAAGCCAGTCCGGAACGTTGGCCTCAACTATCCTTTCTACCCCATATCCGTGCCATGACCTGCTCTGCCTTCCCCCACCTCCGCAACATTGCCCGGCTCTGGAACTGTCTTAACACCGCAAGCCGCCGAAACCCTCATACGCGCTTTCATAACATTGAGGCTTGACTATGCAGACTTCTTGCTTGTCGGCCTCCCCAACTCCTCCCTCCAAAGAATCATCCAGAACTCTGCAGCCATGTCCTCTCCCTTACTAGGCTCCGCAACCCTATCACCCCCATCCTCACCCAACTCCACTGGCTTCCCATTACTCAGAGGATACAGTTCACGATCTTGGATCTCACCTTCAAAGCCCTCCATGGCCTTGCTCCTCCCTACCTCTGCAACCTCCTAACCCCCTTCCAGCTTGCCTACTCCCTCCTCTCAGCGGGGTGCGGCCTGCTTCACATCCCACGCCTCGCCTGCCACACTATTGGCAGGCGGGCCTTCTGCCACTCTGCCCCTAACATCTGGAACTCCATCCCACAGTCCGACCACCTTGCCCCCTTCAAGACCCATCTCAAGATCCTCCTCTTCGACCGTGCCTTCGTTCACCCTGCTTCCCCCACTGCCCTCCACCCTCCCCAATCCAGACCCCAAGCATGGGTCCGAAAGACTGACTGTCCAGCGCCTTGGGTCATCCTCCTGACTTGAAAGGCGCTATGCAACAACAACAAGATTACATTTGTAAAGCACCTTTCACGTTGGCAGGACGTCCCAAGGCGCTGGACAGTGTACAGCATTTCAGACCCGAGCTGGGGTCAGTGGGGGAGGAGCGAGGGGGGAGGGGAAGGTGGGTGGCTGATGGCACGGTCGAAGAGGAGGATCTTGAGGTGGGACTTGAAGGAGGCTAAGACGGAGCGAGGCAGAGTGATTGGGGATAAAATTCCAGAGGTTGGGGGCAGAGTGGCTGAAGGCTCTCCTGCCAATGGTGGGGCGGGTGTGTCGGGGGACATGGAGCAGGCAGAGCTGGCTTAGCAGAGGGAGCGGGCGGGTTGGTAGGGGGTTAGGAGGTCGCAGAGGTAGGGTGGGGCGAGGCCATGGAGGGCTTTGTATGTGAGGCCCAGGATCTTGAACTGGATCCTCTGAAGGATAGGGAGCCAATGGAGTCGGGGGAGATGGGGTCATGGAGTTTGGTGCGGGAGAGGACTCGGGCTGCAGAGTTCCGGATGGAGGAGTTGGAAAGACCGACAAGCAGAGCGTTTGCATAGTCAAGCCTGGAGGTGATGAAGGAATGAACAAGAGTTTTAGCGGCCTGAGGGGTGAGGTAGTGGCGGAGTTGGGCGATGTTACAGAGGTGAGGAAAGGCAGAGTGGCTTGGATGTGGGAAAGAAAAGACAGTTGAGATTCCTGACTGGCTTGGTGAGTTGTAGTGTGTGACCATGGAGGTTGATGCTAACAGAGCCTAAGGTACAAATGTAGTTTTGTTGCTGTTGTAATTTGGCACCAATTTGATTATCCTCATTTAAAGCATAAGTAAACATGTCTGATGTGGGAAAACTGGCCATTCTGAGTGTACTGTCTTGAGTTTGAGGTCCATGCATGTGTGGCAGAGTAAAGAGAGCATCCAGCCATATACTGCCAGCGTTGGACCAGTGATGCCCTTTATAAAATCTAAATATTTACAGCATGGAAGGAAGCCATTCAGGCATTGTGGAGTCCTGTAGCTCAGTGGTTAGAGTACTCGCTTTGCAAGCGAGAGACCTGAGTTCAATTCCAGGCAGGTCAGGGCGAAACCTTGGGCAAGTTTCCTTACTCCACACAGAGCCTAATAATAATCCCCCCAAAACCAAAAACAATAATAAATTGGTCATTTTCATTCTACGACTGTTTGTGGGACATTGCTGTGCGCAATTGGCTGCCGCGTTCGCCCACAAATATACAGTCAATTCACTTTACAGTGTGTTCTGTGAAGCGCTTTTGACATGAAAAGCGCTATATCAAATGCAAGGATTATTATTATTATTAAACCCCCGCACCCCCCGCCCCCACCCACCCCACTCACCTCTCTAATAAAATCATTTCGGAGTGAACTTGAGATCCATGAAGTCTGAAACTTCAGAAAAGTTCTATGTAGCACATATACACATATATGCCCTTCATTTGTCTGCTGCAAGCAAGTGTTGTATAGATAGATAAATCAATGCTACAAAGCTCATTTACTCCTTTGTTCTAAAACAAAAACAGAGAGTTGGGAAAACGCTTCGAAGGGTCGTGGACCCAAAACATTGACTCACCTTCCTTTCTCCATAGATGCTGCCTGACCTGCTGAATTTTTCCAGCTCTCTCTGTTTTTGTTTCAGATTCCAGCATCTGCAGTATTTTGTGTTTTACTCCTTTGTTCTGTTCAGTGAATCACAGCATGGTCGGCTGGAAATGAGACAATAATAATACCAATCCTTGCATTTGTTATAGCGCTTTTCACGTCTTCTAGACGTCTCAAAGTGCTTCACTGTTCAGTGAATGAGAACAATGGGAGGCAAATCAAGTCGTTACTTTTCTTTGCAGTGATGAAGGAGACTCTGTAACAGAACACTGACTAAAACACTGTTGAAAGTGTGGGACTGCCTGTTTTATTCAGAAGGTTATAAAAATATCACAAAGAGATGGTTAAGCTAAGTCCTTGGGACAATTTAAAAGGGAATTTGATAAATACTTTTTAAGAAAAATAATATTAAAGAGTTATGGAAAAAGAACAGTGAATGGCATATAATAATAATCGTTGCATTTTGATAGTACGCCTTATCGCACCTTTGAGATGTCTCAAAGCGCTTCAGAGAATATACTGTAAAGTGAATTGACTTTTTATTTGATGAAAGTAAATAGTTAATGAGAGAGCTAACAGCAGCACAGATATGAATGGTCGAATGGCTTCCTTCCACGCTGTAAATATTTAGATTTTATAAAGACCATCACTGGTCCAAGGCACATAATTTCTCCTCCTTCCAAACACACTCACCATTGTCTCCCTTTCATTTTTACATTGGAGAAGCTGGTGAATTAGTCCATGAAGACATGTGAAGATCAGCACTTGGTACCAAGGGGTTACAAGCTCTTGCAAAACCAGTATGAATCGTCACTTTCAACAACAACAACAACAAGATTTCATTTATAGAGCGCCTTTCACGTCGGGAGGATGTCCCAAGGCGCTGGACGGTTGGGTCAGGACCCGAGCAGGGGGGAAATGGTCAGGGGGAGGGGAGGGAAGGGAGGGGTCGAGGAGGGGGTAGAGAGTCAAGAGGGGAGCTGAAGGCACGGTCAAAGAGAAAGGTCTTGAGACCAGCCTTGAAGGAGGAAAGGGAGGAGGCGGCGAAGGCACTGGGGGATGGAGTTCCAGAGGCTCGGGGCTGAGAGGCTGAAGGCCCGACCACCGATGGTAGGGCGGTTGGGGCGGGGGATGTGGAGCAGACCGGAACCAGAGGAACGGAGGGTACGGGCAGGTAGGTAGGGGGATAGTAGGTCAGAGAGGTAGGAGGGAGCAGTGAATGGCCTTGTAGGTGAGGATGAGGATCTTGAATTCGATCCTCTGGGGGATGGGGAGCCAGTGGAGGCGAGCGAGGGTGGGAGTGATGTGGTCGCGAAGCCTGGTGCGGGACAGTACACGAGCTGCAGAGTTCTGAATGACCTGCAGCTTGTGGAGGGAGGTGCCGGGAAGGCCGGCGAGGAGAGAGTTCCCATAGTCCAGCCTTGAGGTGATAAAGACGTGGACCAGAGTTTCAGCAGCGTGAGGGGTGAGGTAGTGCCATAGTCTGGCGATGTTCCGGAGGTGATGGAAGGCGGTGCCAGTTGTGGTGCGGATATGAGGGAGAAAGGACAGCTCAGGGTCGAACAGAACCCCGAGGTTCCTGACCGGCTTTGAGAGGTGGAGAGTGCAGCCTTGGATGCTGATGCTGTCAGCGCCTGAGGTGCGGAGGCGCTGACGTGAGCCAATCAGGAGGGCCTCAGTTTTGCGCACGTTGAGCTGAAGAAAGTTGTCTCTCGTCCAGAACTCGATGTCGGACAGGCAGCTGTCAGGACATCGGTGGTCGTGGAGTTGAGGGTAGAGGAGGAAAGGTAGAGTTGGGTGTCATCCGCATACATGTGGAAGTTAACCCCATGTCTGCGGATGATGTCACTAAGGATGATGTCACTTTCAGAAGTAAGAAATATCAAAGCAGAAAGCACAGAAACAGCCTCTAGCACTTAATTGACAATAACTTGATTTTCAATTACAGGCAGACCCTGTTATAACAGAAGGTTTTGGCCTGTCTACCTCAGATCCCCTGTTATAATAGGACAATCTTTAAAAAAAAGCCCCCCCTCCCCCTTGGTCAGCAATTGCAGGTCATTAGGATGTCTACAAATAAAACGGTCACCACATAGTAATTCAACAACAGTAACTTGTACTTATATTCCTGTAATGTACTTTGAGATGTTTTCCTGATGTTAAAGGCAGTAGGTCCAAATACAAGGATTATTATATTGTACCTGTGTACCTCCATTATCCCAGTCCTTATCAAATTCCATTGGGTCTCTGTCACAGATTGAATCGATTTCAAGATCCTCACTCTTGTATGGCTCGGCATCGGGCTTCCACCACTGTTAAGCGCTCTGAGAAGCCGTCCGGCTTGAAGGGCCCTATATAAATGCAAGTTGTTGTTGTATATTGTCATCAGTTAGCGCGCGCTATGCAGAAAACCAGCAACGTCCCTCATGAGTGTTTCCAGTAATTTAGCATAACGCTAGACAGAAGACTTGTGCCCAGGTACTTTGGAGGAAGCGAACCAGTTAATGCCAGAAGCTCAAAGTATAACTCACTTTCAGTAAACTGTATAATTTTACTGTGGGCCTACATTATACAATAAGGGAACATTTTCTATACTGGGGCTTGTTATAACTGGGTTACCTTATATTGTGAATATTACATATCAAATGCTTCTAATTTTGAACCATGTATCAAAGTTTGCTTTGTATATATGCGTTTTCCCCTCATAGGGTTACAACAAGGCAAAGGCCTACATAGCAACACAGGGGCCCCTTAAGCCCACATTTGAAGATTTTTGGAGAATGATCTGGGAACAGAATACAGGAATCATTGTTATGATCACAAATTTGGTGGAAAAGGGAAGGGTATGTAACTATTCAATTTGTTTTCAGACTTTTGCATCAAGTCTAATTCAGTGAATACGATATATTCTTTATTGTACTTATCAAAACAATTCATACAGTGAGATGAAAATATTAGTTCAGTAATGTACACTGAATTTGGTGAAAGATAGTCATCTCTGCTGTTGATTACAATGTAACCAATTCATCTGTATAATATTAAACCTCTGAATTTACTTTTGAACTTCAGCGAAAATGTGACCAATACTGGCCTTCTGAGAATAATGAGGAGTACGGCAACATTATTGTCACTTTGAAGAGCACAAAAGTGCGTGCCTGTTGCACTGTGCGGCGCTTCAGCATAAGGAACACAAAACTGAAAAGGGTAAATGTGGAAATCATTCTGTTTTGGTTATGACGTTCGCACACAGAACCGGATCCCAGCTGTGGGAAGAACATTGATTTTCTCCCCATTGGCATATGCCTCTGCTCCTTGTCCCTCGCTTCCTCACGTTGGGGTATATACACATCCATAGTTGCTAGTTGCCCTCTAACTCACGTGGGCATTGCTCATGTGTGAGCCTTGGCAGTGAGGGCTGGCAGCCACCTAACTGAAGAGTGCAACAAGGCCACTCTGACCTCTCCACCTGGCAGCTATACACTCATACTACCAGCAGGAGCCAGAAACCTGGCTGATTTTAACCTCCATGATCCAGGGAAGGAAAGAGACAATTTAGCCTCCACCTGCAGCCCCATTATAGACGACAAGGACTGGGATTCAAACCAGCAGGCTGTTGGTGTATATGATGCAGCTGTAACCACTGTACCATCAGGCTTCTCCCAGGGAAACATTTTGAGGTTTGGAGATCATTTCTCCAAGTGAGATTTCATGTTATACTAACATTAATAAACTGTGGTTACAGGGACAGAAAGGAAACCCCAAGGGGCGTCAGAATGAACGAATGGTTATCCAATATCATTACACACAGTGGCCCGACATGGGGGTACCAGAGTATTCTCTACCTGTGCTCACCTTTGTAAGGAAATCATCTGCTGCCAGGACACCAGACATGGGACCAGTAGTGGTGCATTGCAGGTACGTGTGTGAAGATTCAAGATGAATATTGTACTCTAGTTCATTGCGCTTGAATTTGCTTATTTAATTTTTTTTCCAGCTATAGGGATCGCTTGTCATTCTTGTTTTGTACTATAACATATACATAATGAAGACAATGCAAAGAAGTTTAAGGGAACTTATCTGCTGAATAATATAGCAGTGGGATGGATACATGTTCAATCCTTCACAGTGAGAGACAGAGGCAGAATCAGAGAGCAAGTAGGCCCCAGACCAACACCACCACCAAATTACATTTGTATGGGGCCTTTCACATCAGGATGACTTCCCAAGGCTCTGGACAATCAAGGATCTGCACTCATATGCTGCCCAGTAACCAGATCAGGGGGTATATTGGACAGAGGTCTGGGATAGTCTGTTTACAGTTGATCAGAGGTTACAATTTCTACAGTGCTCAGAAGGGGAAAGAAATACAGAGAAACAACCAGGGAGGACATACCTTTTTTTAAAAACCATCGATCGATTTGTCCAGTTAGTTCTGTCTGTGTCAGAAAATAAAATCAACCAAATCTGTAAGGGAATAACGCTAATTCCTTTAACCAGATATCTGACTGTTTTATTATTATTCGTTCGTTATTCCCCAATATCCCGATGGGTCAGACCAAAGGCCGGTACAGTCAACAGATCTTATAACAGAGTAATACCACCGTAGATATCTCGAGTTCAACACTGTGTCTTTCCAGTACACAAGCTTGATTCTTCATGCTTTCAGTCTTCTTGCTTACAGCTTTCAATCTTCCATCTGATATCCTCAGTCTTAGTGTTTCTAGCTCTCAGTCTTCCATCTCCCGTACCCTTGTCTCCGCGACCCGGGATGGCCCCATCTCCTGTACCCTTGTCTCCGTGACCCGGGATGGCCCCATCTCCTGTACCCTTGTCTCCGTGACCCGGGACGGCCCCGTACACAGTTATCAGAACTTTTATACCGATGTTCGTCCAATCATGGTGCGGACATTAGATCACCTGGTCAAAATCATGATGGGTTCACGTGAACACCTCATGGGGTGTACGTGCCTCAACACACATACACATTGTCCTTAAGACCCCTGTTATCTGATGTTTGTTATTTTGTAAGGTGGGATCATTAGTACATTCCTTTTAAGTGACTGGTTATTTCTTACCAGTATCCCGGGATGGCACCAAATCCTCTAGTTTAAGCAACTTGCTCGTTAGCTGCTATTCTTGAGGGTTGCCTTTTGTTGCTCTTGAGTGTTAATCATGAGTGTCAGTCCAGTTGCCCCCCACACTTAACTTAAAAGTTAACCTGTTCGCAACATCTATTATGATTCTAACATTATACAAAAAGTGTAAATTCTAACATTTGTATCAACTGCTGTGTCTTGGTCCTAATTGCCCTTGTACAGCCAGCATCTGTCCCATAATACACTTACATTTTCATTTAAACACTGTGGGGGGCGGGGGGTGGTCAATGTGGAACATTTCCTAATGAAATTCTTAAATAAAAGTTCAGGAAGGGACTTATAGTTAAAGTACGTCACACGACACTGTGACTCAAGGGAACCATGCTTCAAAAATAGATCGAGTTGGAATGGCATTCCTTTGATTTGGTGTCACAGGCTTCTGGGTTGCTTAATTAAGAAATCTGTTAAATGCTGCAAAATTGACCCATCTATATTGAACCACTTATTAACAAAATTAATCCACTACTGTTAATTAGCAAAGTGTTCCAGTCAAATTAAAGAAAATCTTTTTGAGTGGAAATGGAGAGTAATTAAATCAACAAAATCAGCAATTTGTTTTCTATTCAGCAATTGGCTGTCGTGCGCAGTTACAACAACTTGCACTTATATAGCGCCCTCTTACCAGAGTAGCGTCTCAGAGCGCTTAGAAATTACATTTACTGATGCTCTGCTTTCTTCCAACCTTTCTCTCCAGCGCTGGTGTTGGCAGAACCGGTACCTATATTGTTCTCGACAGCATGCTCCAGCAAATAAAGGACAAAAGCACAGTCAATATCCTAGGGTTTCTTAAACACATCAGGACTCAGAGAAATTACCTCGTCCAGACCGAGGTAAGAACCAGTTGTAAGTGACACCTGTGGACTGTTGTGATTTCAAAAGGAAACTGAGTAAGTTTGCAAAGCTAACTTTCGCAATCTTTCACAAATGATGGTTTGAATCTCCTGGGTTAATTCCAGAATGAGGCCCACATTTGATGGATTTGGGGTTTAAAATCAGACCAATATATTTGGGGAGCAAAATTCTTTAATGATACATTTATACTGTGCTCTTATTTTGAAAGTGCTTTCGTTTCCTTTTAAGGAGCAATACATTTTTATCCATGAAACTTTGCGGGAAGCAATACATGGGAAAGAGACTGAGGTACCAGCCACTCAGCTCCACAGTTATGTCAACAGCATTTTGACCCCTGGTCTGTCTGGGAAGATGAGGATCGAGAAGCAGTTTAAGGTCAGTTACTGAAATGGGAATGTTTTGGGGTTATTGAAATGAAAATGCAATTTTTTTTGCCATATTATTTGATACGTTATCAAGCAAGGATTGGGGCTATGTTTTTTTCTTCTTCCAGTTTCCCCCATGGGAATCTGAATGAATAATACTGTAAAATGATATTTGCAGCAAGCATTGCTTCAGTCAACACAGGAAATACAATATTACCTCCTTTAGTGTGCAATCTGAAAGCAGCCCTACTGAACCAAGTCTATTCAGTCAGAATGCTGTAACGACTACCACTTCCAAGGTTCATTTTCCAAAGTGCAACCAAATGTTCATTTTTTTTAATGTACAAAGGAAGACACATTCATTCCTTCAATTTCATAATCAAAAAATTGTAGATTTATCCCAGTTTGTATTTAAATGAAATGGCAAATTAGTGAACACGAACCAGTTTGAAAATGTCTTGGATAAAAAAAGTCACTACAATGCAGCTAAATTCTGTGAAGTGATTGAGATGTTTGCTGCCGTGATAAGGTGCTATGTCAAATGCAAAAATTACTATTAGTAAACTTTTCTTTTCCACTGCAAGCAGTACTTTCCTTCTGTTGACTGCATATAGAAAAGAGAAATATTTCAGATTTGCTGATACTGTCGTCTATATGGTAGTCCTGCATTAATTTGGCCAGTTTTCAATGCCATTTGTCTGAGTCTCTGTTCCAGAGATAGAGATATACAATTTCATGTTTACAAGATGTTTTCCTTGGGCCATTTAAACAGTATGGCTGCTTTATGTATGCGCATAATTCCTTTAAAGAATTGTTTTTGTGGAAAGAATAATTCCAAGTTTGTGATCACTGGGTATCCAGCTGAGCAGCTCTGTGCACACGTGTGTGTGTTCGTGTGTGCATGCAAAGTAAGCCTCTTTTATGGTAATAGTCACAGGTTTTTTTAATATAAGTTGGGAATGTTTTTTTTCTATATATTCATTATTGAATCTTAAAGCTGATATATTATGGTTGCTTATTATTAATAATTCTCCCCCAAAAATAAATCCACTTTGAATTCTAAACAGTGTTTGTGCTCACTACAGAAATGGATGAAGACTTTCTTTTTTTAATATTAATTTTCAGCTGGTGACTCAGTGCAATGCAAAATTTGTAGAGTGCTTCAATGCTCAGAAAGAATGTAATAAAGAGAAGAACAGAAACTCTTCCGTTGTACCATGTAAGATGCTCACTATTTTACCATTTTGCATATTATAGGCTTAATTTTAAGGAGATTACGTATCATAGCAACAAGGCTTCTCAAATGATAGATGGTGGGGAAAGAGGATGCCAAGTTATCTATTCTCTGAAGACCTTTTAGATTTGGTCTGTTCTGCCAAGGGCAATAACCTCTGATTGTTGTGGGTAAAATAGCTATGAAGTTGGTAAGCTGGAAAAATGCCTTGTTTTTTTTTCTAAATGCACTTATGTAATCCTATCTGGGTGGCTGATGATAAAAGGTTTAAAGATAAAATCCTGGTTTTACTGCAGATTAAGTCTGCTGTATTCTTCTTAGAATTTGTTTGGAGGTCAGGAGTAGAGTCAGGTTGAATAGAATAGAATTATTTTTCAACCAACCGTCTGTTGTGAATTGTTTTTGGAGGTTTTATCCTATCTTTTCAGCTGAACGAGCCCGGGTGGGACTTGCACCATTACCTGGTATGAAAGGAACCGATTATATTAATGCCTCATATATAATGGTGAGTCAGAAGCAATATCCTTTTTATTCCTTTGGCCTGTGTCATAAACACGTAATTCTAACTTTCCAAGGAAGAAGAATAGTGAAAAAATATCACACTTTTGGAGTATTTTATAATGCAAATGTTCCTTTTCCTGCTGAGTGCTTTGAAATACGAATTGAGAGGATTTTAAATTATGGTTTTGCACAATATCTACATAACCTACAAACCATTCTGATGTGGCAAATAGGTTCAAGATTAATTTTCATTTGCCAAGAATATTTGGGCTCTTTTGCTGGAATACGGAATGCCTAAGGTTTTTCTCTTTTATTCCCATCACAGAAAACAAATTTACAGCCCAATTTTCCTCTTGTTCTTTTACATATTCACGTATTTCTAAGTATTTTCTTGGAATAGGAAAGTGTGTTTGTTTCCAACTATGTTGGTGATATCAGTCTACGTTTGTAGCTGTGAAAAATAAATTGTTCCTCTGTGTAATGTAGGACGGCATGGACAGTATGTGTCTTCTTTCATGAACTAAATGCTGAGACTATGTGATCCACTTAACTCTGAAAGTCCACAGATAATTCATTAGATCACAGGAGTGAGCCAACTGCAGTTTAGCATTAGCAATAGTGATAATGGAATGCATTGCCTTGGCAAGGTGTCCAAACAAAATCAAATGAGAATGGTTAAAAAATGCCTGGGAAGTAAGAAATTTAATGGGTACTGAAGGAAGTGGGATGAAAAGAACTTCAATGATCTATGAAACTGTCCTGATGGGTTGAATAGCCTCCCTCATTCCCATGTTCCTAACTTACTGCTAAAAAATTCTGTATCAATGAAGCATTGCTAGCTCTCCAACTTTCGAGGGATTGTATGGGCAATAGAAATATTACTGATAAACAGTGTCCACTGCTTCCTTTACAGGGCTATTACAGAAGCAATGAGTTCATTGTCACTCAACACCCATTGCCACACACGACAAAGGACTTCTGGCGAATGATCTGGGACCACAATGCTCAGATTATTGTCATGTTACCAGACAACCAGGGACTGGTATGTATCCCATCTTGTAATACTTGCTTCTCCTCCTTCCTCCAGTGTTTTATTTTACGAGATTGCTTCCAGGTTTAACTTCTAATATTTTATTTTCAAATGTAAAGAGAGTGGCGGCACCATAGCCCTTGATTAATCCTAACAATTTGAAATGGTTTAGTGGAGAACAGCGAGGGATTTGGTTGTATAATGACATGTTAATTTCATTGAAACAGGATTTATAAATGTTTCGATTTTTGCAAATCAAGTTTGAAGGTTTCCCACATTTTCCCCCCCAACTACATTGCTCTATTGTACAAATGCTAATTTCCCCTTCAATAGTGATGCTGACAATTGTCCTGCTCAGAAAATAGGAAAATAAATGCCTGGATATCTCTGTGATTCACTGTTTATATGTGTGCTTCTGCTAAGTGTGTGCCAAATGGTCATTCATCTGTAGGTCTTTTTATTAATTGCTGCTTTATTCAACTAGTCAGTAGCATCTTAAAAGAGGCTAAGGTTGGCTGGAGAGAGTATTGATGGCTAACTGGGTAGGAAGCAGTGACGATTCTGAGCAGCAGAGGTGTAAAGGTCAGACAGACCAAAGAGAGGATAAATTGCAAGAAAGAAATATAATATTACATTAAAAATTATGGACTTTTTGATACTGATCTTATTTTTCATTGTCCATTGTAGTGTTGTTTTAGGAGTAATAGGCACGCAGAGCCCATTGGTAAATTTATCAAGTACGGAGTGAAAGATGCTGTACAAAATGCAAGTTGGTTGCAATGTTTCTTTCCCCTAATAATTTATATTTCATCATTAGTTTATATGAGTTTGATGAAGCCTGTAAAGCACTGACCACAGTGCTTTTCTTAAGACAATCACTCCTGCATTTCAGCACCGTAAATGGAACTTTGGATTTCATTTGTCATGGGTTGCCTATTGCTTTGAACCTGACGTGCCAATTGTATACTTTATACTTGTGTGTTTGAATAAACTAGTGTCAAATGTTCATTTGTTTAGCGGTAACATTCATCCTTAACATTTATAAGCTATGGCTGTCTCAAGCCTAAACAAAGTAATTATCTACTTTCTGAGTGTTAGAATAGTAGCTGAGGAGAGGATGACTGTAATGGTTGAAACAGCTGGAGTGTAAAAATGTTTGTTTCAACTTACTGGCGTATCTTCACTGCAGGAGGCTGTGAGTCAAGATGTCTGTTCAGCACTGAATTAATGAGAAAGACTCAGTTAGGATTTTGTTATTGGGGGTTTTATCATTAAATTGTGCTGAGGTCTTCATTCTTCCCACAGTTCACAGAATATACTGTAAAGTGAATTGTGGAGGTAATATTTATAAATAATACAAATGACTTGGACTGGATTCTCAGCTTTAGTGTAAAATAGCTCATTTGCAAATGATACCAAGTTGTTGGTGGTGGGCAGAGGGAGGTATGGAATTACAGAAGAGAGAAAAGATCTTACAAAGTGACCTTGATCAAGTATGAACATTATCTGATGACTGGTATATTAAGTTTAATACAGATAAATGCCAAGGCGTAACATGTAGGAGGTAAGAATAGGAGGCACAGGTATTCTATGGAAGGGATGAAATTAGCCGAGGGGAAAGCTGAAAGATTTCTAGGGGTGTTAGATGACTCCTGTGCTCAATATGTCAAAACAGTGTGAGGCAGCAATAAACAAGGCAAACAGGATGCTGGGCAAGATTGCCAAATCAGTTCAGTTCAAATCCCCAGACGTCATGTTGAAGCTTTATAGTGCTCTCGTCAGGCCACACCTAGAGTACTTACACAAGTACTGCACAGTTCTGGGCACCTTGACACAATACCAGGGGCTAAAGGACAGCAATGAGAATGATCCCTAGTTTTAGAGAAATAAGCTTTGTACGGTGATCATTCAAGCTAGGGTCTTAAAGAGGCAACTCCTCTTCAGTCTTAAAGAGGCAACTCCTCTTCAGTCTTAAAGAGGCAACTCCAAGTGGACTCCAGCCATTCACAAGCGGCTGGAGTTGGGCTGTTAATCAGTGAGTGGGGGGGCGGAGATATGGGGAGGGAAATTGGGATTGATTGACAGCTGAGTTGCTTGTGAATGGCTGGAGCCCATCCACTCACAAGTGGCTGCAGACTGTCAATCACCTCTAATTCGCCGCTAATTGGTCCCCTTCCCGTCCAATGGGATGGAGGAAGCCGCGCTGCTCCTCTGCTGGTAATTTGCAGCCAAACAAAGGTAAATATCAAATAATCCTTGCATTTGATATAGCACCTTATCACGTCTTCGTGAGGTCTCAAAGCGCTTCACAGTATATACTGTAAAATGAATTGACTGTATATTTTGTGGGCGAAATGCGGCAGCCAATTGCGCACAGCAGTGTCCCACAAATAGTCGTGGATTGAGTGACCAATTCATTTTTTTTGAAGGAATTATTACCCCCGGAAAAGAAATCTGCCAATCGGCTAACAACCGGGTTCCCACTTACTGCTAGGTAAAGAGGCGTGTGCTATAAGGAAACTTGCCCAACGTTTCACCCTGCTGGGAATCGAACACAGGTCTCTCACTTGAGAGGCGAGTGCACTTAACCACTACACTACAGGATTCCACTAAGAGTATAGGATTTTAACTTTACCTCCTAGGTTAAAATATTTAGTGTTGTTTGGTTAGTTAACATTGCTTCAAGTAAAACAACATCATTACATACTTTTATACAGAGTCAGTGTCGATCCTCTGCTGGACGGGAATGGTATTTCGATTACCCTCGGACACTTCTTAGCCAGACCAAATGGCCATCCTCGATGAGTCTGACTTAACCAACTTCCAATGTATTTTATAAGATTTTATAGAATTGAGAAAGTAAACTTGGAACGATACGTTTGGGTACACGTAACAGCAAGGTTTAGGGTTACAAAGAACAGTTCCAGACAGACACTAGAGGTATATCTTTACCAAGAGGATAATTAATGACTGAAAAAGGTTCCCAGACAGAGTTGTTCTGTCCAATATGGTCTCTTGCACACTGACAAATTGCTCAGAAAATCCCTCACTGCTGGATTGCACATAAGGTCTCTTTGAGACTCTTGGAAGGAGAAGATTTTGATCTTGTAACATATGACTTGTTCTTTCTTGGAGGGTGTAGTTCTTTAAAATTTGACCCCTTTTGTAGTATATGGAAGAAAAGCTAACCCTTAAAGAGATGTATGGATTATAATTCTACAAAATAATTTTGAGTAAATAATAATGCAAATCTTAAATACAATAATCAGCTTTACTTTTACAGAATGGCATTTCTTCTTTTGTGGAGTCCTGTAGCTCAGTGGTTAGAACACTCGCTTTGCAAGTGAGAGACCTGAGTTCAATTCCAGGCAGAGGGCGAAACGTTGGGCAAGTTTCCTTAGTCCACACAGAGCCTAATAATAATTCCTCCAAAACCAAAAACAATAATAAAAATTGGTCATTTTCAATCTTTGACTGTTTGTGGGACACTGCTGTGCGCAATTGGCTGCCGCGTTCACCCACAAATATACAGTCAATTCACTTTACAGTGTATTCTGTGACGCGCTTTGGGACGTCCTCCCGACGTGAAAAGCGCTATACCAAATGCAAGGATTATTATCATTATTATTTTGTGGAGAATGTCCTGGTTTTGACAAAAGGTGCCATGTAAATCACAGATAAACAACACAAATACAACATTGTGCAAATAAGCAATCAAGGTTCTGAATATCTGTCTGTCCCAATCCCAAATTGACATCACAAGGAGCTCTATTTAGCGGTCAGCTTCTCAACTAGTAAAACCTACCCACTGTGTTTGGCCAAATGCAAGTCATCTTGTGGTGGCAGAATGGACAGAGGCCAACATGTCTTTTGAATATTCATACCTTAGCTCCCTCACACACTGACAAATTGCTCAGCGAATCTTTCCCAGCTGGGCAGCACCAGAGGGATCTTTGAGACTCTTGGCTCCCTCCAGAGGACCATCTGCTGTTCTTTTGACGCTGTTCTTACATGTATGAAAAGAGTTGCTATTTTACAGCTTGTAAGCAACCAGCTTTGATATGTTCAGAAAATAAATCTATTCTACTGGTTCTAGCCATTGATGTGACAGTTCTGGCATCTGCCGGTTCCAAATATTCCTCTGAGATCGTTCCTTACAGTTGTTCTAAAGTGCTGTGAAAAGAATGTGGTTAAAGGTCAGTTAGTTGTTAGGATATTCTTGTTAGATGTGGTTTATTATGAGTATTGACACTAAGAGAGCCATTCAGCAGCAGCTATAGATCTTTTATTTACACAGCGTGAATTATTACTGTTGTTAAATATTAATTTTGAAACCAGTAGCTGGAACCATAAAATATATCATGTGTCTTGTAAAATTGTTGATGCTTTCAAATTGTATGGTCCATAAAAGACTTTTAAACAAAAGGATTGAATCTAAACTTTTCATCAATTTATGCTAAGATAATAAGTGATTATTAACCTGGTATGTATTAATCAAGGTTTTTGTGCATTTCACTATCATCCTCTCACCTGCACTTTCTCTCTTTTTCTCTCTCCTCCAGCTCTCACTGGTGTAAATAAGACCTTTACCTTCATGAGATGTGGCTTGCTGGCCAAAGGGACACATTCCTCCTCCACTCCCCCACCCACCAAATCCACCACAAGGAGCTACTGTACCCTATGGCCATTTTAGCCACTTGTGAAACTCGTCCTTTGTGAATGGGCGTTGGGTTGTTCAGACTGGGTTTTGAGTTCTGAATCCCTGGCTTGTGAATCCAATGATTCACCAATGGCTAGGTATAAATTTGGTACAAAATTACAAGTCTCAAGTGCAGTAAATCAGTGTTAATATAAAAGTTCCAGGTCCTTCGAATTTCTGCTGCACTACTCAAGAGGCCAGTTATCTTTTTATGTGAACCAGTCTATGCCTTACCTGTGGTAGCACTTACATGTGTAGGGTAACCCTGCCACTATACTATATTTTGTTGATTGGTTGTGTTTTTACTGGTTACCTAATTGTGGCAGATTTTGATAAACATAATTCAATTCTAGACGCTATTGTTTTCGAAAACGACCTGTGATTTCCTTTCTTCCAGGCAGAGGATGAGTCTGTGTACTGGCCCAGCCGTGAGGAGTCCATGAATTGTGAAACCTTCACTGTAACCCTCATCAGCAAAGACAGATTGTGCCTCTCGAATGAAGAGCAAATTATCATCCATGATTTCATTTTGGAAGCAACGCAGGTAGATTGAACTATTCTGTATTATTTTACATCATTAGAAAGAACTTCAGTAAGAAATATGTATATTAGTTATTTATAATACTACTTGCATTTATATAGCACCCTTCATGTATGATAACATTTTGGAGCACTTTACAATGAAAAGGTTGAATGCTTTTGAAAGGAGGGGAAGGCAACGATAGGTTCGATCTCAGATATAGGTCTTAGTTGTGAAGAAATGTGCGGGATTTTGAGTAACAAATGACCTGGTCAACTATTATTAGTATTAGTTGGAGTCCTGTAGCTCAGTGGTTAGAGCACTTGCTTTGCAAGTGAGAGACCTGAGTTCAATTCCAGGCAGGACGAAACCTTGGGCAAGTTTCCTTACTCCACACGCCTAATAATAATCCCTCCAAAAAAAAAAAACAATAATAAATTGGTCATTTTCAATCCACGACTGTTTGTGGGACATTGCTGTGTGCAATTGGCTGCCGCGTTCGCCCACAAATATACAGTCAATTCACTTTACAGTGTGTTCTGTGAAGCGCTTTGGGACGTCCTCCCAACGTGAAAAGCGCTATATCAAATGCAAGGATTATTATTATTATTATTGATTTTCATCTACACGAAGATTGATGAGATGGGAAAGATGGAATAGTTTGTGAGTTACCTCATTCTGTAACTGCTTTATTTCAGGATGATTACGTACTGGAAGTGCGGCACTTCCAGTGCCCGAAGTGGCCTAATCCAGACGCTCCTATCAGCAGCACCTTTGAACTTATTAATGTAATAAAGGAGGAAGCTTTGAGCAGGGATGGACCAACAATCATTCATGATGAGTATGTACTTTTATTATTTCTACTTTAATTTGTTGACAATTAACACACACACACACACAAGCAAGCAAACACAAACATGTGGGTGGTGAGGAAGACTGTTTACTTTTTAACCTCTAAATCCTGCTGATGTCTTCCTTTACCTGCCCACCAATCATTACCTTCTGGTGCCAGTGACCCAGGACAATCTTCAACGTCTCCTTTTCTGCAGCCCATTAATAACTGCTGCAAGCACATTGATTCAGTCAGAGAGCAGCATTGTCTGGGTCATGGGTAAGGCAGAGAAATTTGGTTCTATGGAGAGACTGTGTTTGGTGGGCGAAATGGCTTTTTTCTTATTGCATCTTAATTCTCATGCCTACCATCAGTGATGTTTTCCTCTTATTGGAGACAATGTGCTATACACCATCATTTGTTTCACAGAATTGGTGAAAAGTAGCAATACAGTATTTTGAAGTTACTAAACATAAGGATATTACTTGACACTTTGAACTCTGGACCATTGCTTCTAAATGGCACTTGCAAATTCTTAATTCAGTTCCAAGAAATATCTAATATAGGAAGCACAAAGGTCAACTGGACGTTACACTTTTTTTATTAAAGCACACACATCCTCTGCAATATCCAATAAATGGTTAAAATGCACAGATCCGGAATAATAAAATAAGTGTCTCTTTCTCATTCACTTCCTGCACATACTGTTCTGTGAAATTTGAAAGATTAAAAGCATGTTGTTTTCCTGAAGCACCTTGTCATTATAATTAATGTCTGTGTTGGCTCACTCGGCCACAGCAAGTGCTATTAGTAATCCAATGGCATATGCTGCCTTTATTTCAATCGGTCTGCAACTCTACTTGTGATGGCAGGATTCATTAGTAGGAAAAGTTGTCTGTGGATGAAAGACACCGATGAACCTAGTGGTTGTGAAATTAATACAGTGGAGTTTAACATGTAGTTAAAATTTAAATATTAGTGGTGTGATATGCAGTTTGAGATTAAGGTTGATTAAGATTAAGATTAAGATCGAGATTTGTGGAGTCCTGTAGCTCAGTAGTTGGAGCACTCGCTTTGCAAGCGAGAGACCTGGGTTCATTTCCAGGCAGGGCGAAACCTTGGGCAAGTTTCCTTACTCCACACACCTAATAATAATCCCTCCAAAACCAAAAACAATAATAAATTGGTCATTTTCAATCCACGACTGTTTGTGGGACATTGCTGCGCGCAATTGGCTGCCGCGTTCGCCCACAAATATACAGTCAATTCACTTTACAGTGTGTTCTGTGAAGCGCTTTGAGACGTCCTCCCGACGTGAAAAGCGTTATATCAAATGCAAGGATTATTATTATTATTATTATTATTATAAGGAGTCCTGTGGCTCAGTGAGAGATCTGGGTTCAATTCCCAACAGGACGAAACACTGGGCAAGTTTCCTTACTCCACACTCCTCTGTTTACCTAGTAGTAAATAGAAACCTGGTTGTTAGTTGATGGGCAGATTGCTTTTCCAAGGCTAATAATTCCTTCAAAATAAAAAAATTATAAATTGGTCACTCAATCCAAGACTGTTTGTTGGACACTGCTGTGTGCAATTGGCTGTTTCGCCCACAAAATATAGTCAACTCATTTTACAGTATTATTCTGTGAAGTACTTTAAGCCATTTCGTAGAAGTCATAGAATCATAGAATTATAGAGCACAGAAGGAGGCCATTCAGCCCATTGTGTCTGTGACGGCTCTTTGAAAAGAGCTATCCAATTCAATCCCACTCCTCCGCTTTCTCCCCATAGCCCTGCAAACTTCTCCTTCCCAAATAATTATCTACTTCTCTCTTAAAAGTTATTATCGAATTGGCTTCATCACCCTTTCAGGCAATGCATTCCAGATCCGAACAACTTGCTGTGTGAAAAAATTTCTCCTCACCTCCCCTTTGTTTGTTTTAACTACAATTTTAAATCGGTGTCCTCGGGTTACCGACCCACCCACCAGTGGAAATAGTTTCTCCTTGTTCACCCTATCGAATCCCCTCATAATTTTGTAACCTTCTAATAACTCTCCTCTTAACCTTCTCTGCTCCAAGGAGAATAATCTTAGCTTCTCTCGCCTCTCCTGATAACTGAAGTCCCTCATTCCTGGTACCAAACTGGAAAATCTCCTTTGAGCCCTCTCCATTTCCTTGACATCCTTCCTAAAGCGTGGTGCCCAGAACACAGTACTCTAGTTGAGGCCTAGATAAGGCCCTACATGAAATACAAGGATTATTAAGACCTGAGCCTGCTAGGCAGACGTAGGCGAAACACCATCCCATCCAAACCCCCTCCCCACCCTACTATCACCACCACAACTACCATGTTCGACCAAGATTTTTTGGGGTAGTTTTAGATCTGGAAGTTGAATTCATGACTTGGGTTCAACAACAACAAGATTACATTTGCATAGCTCCTTTCACGTCAGGAGGACGTCCCAAGGCGCTGGACAGTGTACAGCATTTCAGACCCGAGCTGGGGTCGGGGGGGTAAGGGAGTGGAGGGGAAGGGGACCGATGGCACGGTCAAAAAGGACAGTCTTGAGGCCAGTCATGAAGGAGGCTAAGGAGGGGGCGAGGCGGAGTGATTGGCGGATGGAATTCCAGAGGTTGGGGGCAGAGTGGCTGAAGGCTCTCCCACCAGTGGTGGGGCGGGTGGGGCGGGTGGGTCGGGGGACGTGGAGCAGGCCAGAGCCGGCTGAGCGGAGGGACCGGGCGGGTTGGTAGGGGGTTAGGAGGTCACAGAGGTAGGGTGGGGGGAGGCCATGGAGGGCTTTGATTGTGAGGACCAGGATCTTGAACTGGATCCTCTGAAGGATAGGGAGCCAATGGAGATGGGTGAGAATGGGGGAGATGGGGTCACGGAGTTTGGTGCAGGAGAGGACACGGGCTGCAGAGTTCTGGATTATCTACAGCCTGTGGAGGGAGGAGTCGGGAAGGCCGACACGCAGGGCATTTGCATAGTTGAGCCTGGAGGTGATGAAGGCATGAACAAGAGTTTCAGTGGCCTGAGGGGTGAGGTAATGGCGGAGTCGGGCGATGTTGCGGGGGTGAGGGAAGGCAGAGCGGGTCATGGCTTGAATGTGGGGGAGAAAAGACAGTTGAGGGTCGAACAAGACACCGAGGTTCTTGACTGGCTTGGTGAGTTGTAGTGAGCAACCATGGAGGTTGATGTTGCCAGAGCCTGAGGTGCTGAGGCGCTGGCACAAGCCAATCAGGAGGGCCTCAGTCTTGTTCACATTCAACTGTAGGAAATTAGCCCTCATCCAGGACTTGATGTCCGAAAGACAGTCTGTCAGGTCAGCAGTGGTCCTGGAGTTGAGGGTGGAGGCAGAAAGGTAGAGTTGGATGTCATCCGCATACATGTGGAAGTTGACCCTATGTCTGCGGATGATGTCACCAAGAGGGGAGCTTGTAGATATTAAAAGAGAGAGAGGGCCAAGGACAGAACCCTGGCGGATGCCAGATTTGACAGTGCAGGGGCTGAGGAGAAACCAGTGGAGGCAACAAATTGGTGATGGTGAGAGATAGGAATTGAACCAGGCAAGGGCTTAGTGAGTTCCGTGAAGATCCGTGAAGATTGAGTAAAGCGGAGAGGCGGTGTTTCACGTTGGTATTTTAACCTCAATTCCTAAATTGAAGCTGCATGTTAAATCCCATTTTCTATTGGGAGTTTTTGATCTAATGAGAGTACACTGTTAATCAGCAAAAGTAAATTTCTTGATTTTATGTTCATGTGATATATGTTCATGCAATGGTTATAAGGAATTTGAGTTAAGACAGTTAATCGACATATGATCTAAGGGTTCTTAAAATGGTCATTTTAAACAAATGTTTGCCTGGGAGGTATAAATACGGGAGGAAAGAAAAGGAAGTCATTGAAAGAGAGATTCGAGGAATTGAAGCAAAACTTAATTGTATTCTGTTGTGCAGGTTTGGTGGTGTCTCTGCTGGATTGTTCTGTGCCCTTACCACCTTGTCACAGCAACTAGAGAGTGAATTTGCTGTGGACGTCTATCAAGTTGCAAAGATGATAAACCTCATGAGGCCAGGAGTGTTCACAGATATTGTAAGTGTGATGTGAAAAATAATAAGGATTGGCATTTTGTATTAATTTTCACAATCAATAATTTCTTGCAGTGTTTCCCTAGCTGTTGTTTATTTTATGGAAATGATCTTCAGCCCTTGCAAGTTAAACGGCTTACATTACTCACAAGGCAGATTCTATGATGAATATTTAAAACATGTGGTGCAACATGAAAAGGCTGATTGCAAGTTACAAAGACCATCTGTGGCATCACAGATAATATGCACAAGTTGTTGACAGTTAGCTATCTGAAATTATGTATCACTTACTACCGTTGATTTTATATATTTAGAAAAGCTAAAACAACCTGTACATTGAACATCCCAATGGTAAATTTGGACGGGCACTTTGTAAAGCTAGGATTCAACGGTAATTGAAGAAGGGAAATTGCCTTTGTAAACCGACTTTTAGTTTTGAAATAATTATGTATCCAAATAATGATCTGTCATGCTCTTTTTGATTTCATATTTTGTCTACCTTTTTACATAGGACCAATATCATTTCTTATATAAAGCAATGCTCAGCTTAGTTAGCACAAAGGAGAATGGAAATGGACCCTCATCATTCGACAGAAATGGCACCGTGATTGTCACCGACGATTCGGATCCAGCAGAAAGCATGGAATCTCTTGTGTAATCTGAGGCACTTCATTGGAAAAACTTTTAAGGACTGGGTGAACTTTTGAGGCCTTTTTTGCCAGGTTCCAAGTTTAAAGATAAAGTTTAAAGTTTAAAGACCGTACTTTTTACACTGATGAGAGATGTTTTTATGTTGATTTTAACCATTCTGAGTCTTATTATCCTGCTGAGTATTTGCACCTCTTATTTTAACAAAAAGAAAACACAATTCTTTCTAGTTTGCACTATCTGATCAGTGTTACTGCCTATACAAAATCTAGTTCAAGATGTGTGATTTCCCTGATGTTACAACATTCCACAAAAAGATTCTATGTGTAACCCTATATGATCTGAGTTTTGTAGCAAAGAACCTAGTGATCCAAGACGGCTGTGAGGCAATCTTGCAAGCAAACTCATTCCACATTTTGATTGTTGACTAACTTCAGAACAAACCTTATTTTCATGGATAGTGGTGTATTTCTTATTTTATATATATATAAGTTGTACATCGTGTGAACCTGGCAATTTTCTGTAAAGTACCAATAACATAAGCGCCTACATTCCAGCGATCAAGACTACAGATATTCACAAAATGTCACACTTGCTGTAAACTTCACCGCAGAGTAGATTACTGAAAGGAAGGTATGCTGTACTGCACATGAATAGAACAATTTGTTTTACTGGGTGTCTTGAAATATTATCTGCAACAACGTATTGCTTGAGGCTGTAACTAACGATACACAGAAAAGTCGTCTCTGACAGAAAATGTGGAAAGAATCTTAATAAGTGAACAGGATTGTTGAAGATTAGAAACTGACTTTTTTACGTTAACACTCTGAGTCTGGTTGTTTTTGCAGGTGTTGCGGATGTGTATGTCAAAAGGCAAATTAGAAGCATGGTTTTTGCACAGTGGGTTGTGTAGATCCAACCTGAGACTGAATTATGTTTGGTGATAAAAACTTAAACCACTACCAAGTGATGTGTACTTGAGGAAAGTGATCCATCAATAACGTAGCACATCTGCCTTGTCAATAATCAGTGTTTTGAGAATATTGTGCTATCTGACACGCTTTTCTTTCCTTTTCTTAAAACTGACAGTGAAGCAGAATTTATTAACTTTACCAAAGATATAAACTAGTTCTCAGCAGAATTTAGGATTTTTCTCTCCCCCCAAAAAAAAGTATGGTTCTAATTGTCTTTTTTTAAAACTATCTCTACAGTCCAGGGTTTGTTTGTGTTTATTTGCAAACAGTAATTCAATAAGATGAATGTCCTCAAGGTGCCAGTTCATATTTCTTTTCATGATTAGATAACAATAGTATCCACATAAAAATATTCACATCTATTATAATTTAGAATTGTACAGATTGGGAATATCAACGGAGCCTTCCTCTTTAAAGATTTGACCATATTTGTACATCAGAACCATGTGTGATATTCAGTTACTTGCGTGCAAATGTGGCAATTTTCTCTTCCTGAGAAGAACACAATAATAATGGTGGAACAAAAAAACATTGTCAGTCTTCTTTCTGACGAGACAAAAAAAAACTGCTACCTGAATTGAAAAAAAAGTTTCACAATTTTTGTTAATGAGAGGTATTTTCACAAAGTGGGAGACATTTTCTATATAACCGGTTAAACATTTGATGTGGAAAACATTAATCAGACTTTTAGAGAATTAAAAAAAGTTTGTTGTTTTCAAGAAAAAAAATGGAAAAAATAAAAAAAAGACCTTTTCTCAACAAAGAGGAGATTTTTGAATTTTTTTAAATCCTCGTGTTTCTCCAACATTTGGGGTAGTGGTGTTTCAAAAGAATTTTGTTTCAGTATTTTAGAGGAAAACAAAGATAGTTTAAGCATCATGTCTCGAGAACCATAATCCTTATTCATTCTTTAGGGTAGCAGATACAATCAAACTGTAAATATTTTGTTGCTTCAATGAGCATCTTGTGGGGACTTTGTATCTATGGTATATAATCACAGAATTTTATATTTTCATATAAAGCTAATTTTTTTCTAGTCTCAATTCCTTCATAGTTTTGTGGTGGCTATGTGGAAAAGCTGTCTGTGCATTGAGGTAGTACCCATGAATACTGTGTCATCACATTTCAAAGGCATTCAACATATATTACTTCTTGGGAGCAGTGGTTGTTGAAGTTGCAGGTATTTTCAATGATATTGTCGGTGTGTGCAATAGGAATAGATCTAGGCAGTTGCTGAATAAGTTTGTCTCATGACCCATTTGAAAATGTGGTGTTTTGTAACTTGAAATAATCTGCTTTGTTCTGTTGAAACTATATTAAATTGTTCTATTATAGTGTTATTTAATATGTAAATTGTATTGCTATACCTGAAATAAAGTATGGGTTTTGATGGACCTAAGGGTGACACTGTTATGACTCGGTGGAAGTCTTTATTTGACTTTTGCTTCATAATAACATTCAAGTTGGATTTTAAATCTCCCAATATTTTTGTTGTGTGAAGTTATAAAGGTCCACCATCGTACTATACACCTAAGTTTATATCCTGAAATCTATCTAACTCCTTTTTCAAATAATCATTACAAGCATGTCCACAACCTGATGTAAGAAAAAAATCCCTCTGGGATGGAGACTTAAGTGAATATATTTGATACAGTAGAATACATTTTCTACTTATACAGTGACTTTCCCAGTGGGAGGATGTCCCAAACCGTGTGATATACATTACCTCAGTTAACTGAGCCTCTTCATCTTTGATGGCTAACTCTGCATATTTTCTAATGCCCAGATTGAATGTATGGTGACCAACACTGGATGATTTACTTTGACTTTTGATTTACTAATAATTTTATTAAATCCATGCTTTTGGATACTACACATTTGGCAATGCAGCCTAACGTTTTCTTTGACCAGCTGTTGAACCCATCCGAAATCACTTTTCAATAATTCCTTTTATTTATTTTCCTTTTCTATCGCATTTTTGCATCTTTGAAAAACATTAGAATGTTTTTAATTTCATTATTTAGATTGTGTTTTTCTTTGTAGAAATAAATTGAATAGTGCAGAAGTGAAATAACCCCAATGATGCTATGTTCTCTCTCCCCCAGCATTCTTGTGCTTATTTAGAAGTACGTTTGTCTGTGACTGTCTCTTCAATGGCTGATCTGCGGCATTTGTTGCTTACTTTGTGATTTCCTGAAATCTATCATCTATTGCCATTAAATTTTATGAACCTGGCTGAGCTGTTTGCATTTCTCATGCCAGCACTGGTGCTGGAATAACTACACACAGAACATATTGTACCACAGCAGTTGGTACATGATCAGCTCGATCACAGTAAGAATTTAAGAGTTCTTATATAGAGGTTTTTATATATAGAAGGATTTATACTCATTAATTCTATTTTTATCTTGGTCAATGATGATATTAGGCAAGAATTTAAAAACAGTGTTTTGGAGCAGTTCATTTCATTTTTCTCTTCAATAGAAAAAGTAGGTCTTGTTTTTTCAAGAAATATAATTGCTTTTAAAGTATCCCTCAATTAACTGCATCACTTCATTATTGATCTCCATGTAGGTTAATTTTAGAGAGTAAAGAATTTTCTCTGGGCGAAGGATCCAGAAAGAGCTCAATATTTATATTTTGAAAAGCATTATTTGTGATATCAATTAGGAGCAAGTCTTTCAAAAATAAAATAATTTCTATTTATCAAGAAAACCCATTGATCAAATCTGTAAAAGGTTCAAAACACCATTAAAAGTACTGTAATTGTAATAGAGGCAGTTGCCAATAATTTTGGCCTGAATTAATGTGCTGTTTTTACCTTTCTGTACACTCTTTAATCCAGTTTTATCTTATTATCTGAGCTGTTTACCTATCTGTTTTTACAATTAACCTCTAACTAGCCCTAACCTCTGGAATATCTTCAAATATCACCTAAAAACCTACTACACTGACAATGCCTTTGGTCACTTCCCCTTTCCTTCCACTCCTCCCTTGCTTTGTGTCTGACTGACTCTTTCTCTGAGAACTAATCCAAGGTATCATCATATGTCAATAATAATAATAATAATAATCCTTGCATTTGATATAGCGCTTTTCACGTCGGGAGGACGTCCCAAAGCGCTTCACAGAATATACTGTAAAGTGAATTGACTGTATATTTGTGGGCGAACGCGGCAGCCAATTGCGCACAGCAATGTCCCACAAACAGTCGTAGATTGAAAATGACCAATTTATTATTGTTTGGGGTTTTGGAGGGATTATTATTAGGCGTGTGGAGTAAGGAAACTTGCCCAAGGTTTCGCCCTGCCTGGAATTGAACCCAGGTGTCTTGCTTGCAAAGCAAGTGCTCTAACCACTGAGCCACAGGACTCCACGTTGCATTTATATAGTTCAAGAGAACTATATAAATGCAATTTATTGAAATTTTCTTGAAACTTGTCTCAAAGATGTTTTACACTGGCCAATTACTGATCTAGATTCAAAGATAGGAATCTAAATTGAGAGCCATGTCTTTGAACCACCCCTGATGGTGATATTTCACCATGTGTCAGTATTACCAGAAAGTGAATTCCACTTTCCCCTGAATTCATGAGTTTTATCTTTGAACTACAACAAAGCAAAGGTAGAATTAATCCTGAAATTGACATATTAATCGATGTAAACCTCAATTTTGTCCTCTCATTATCCTATTTAATTTTCCATTATATGTTAACATCGTTTGGGACACAAAAATCCTTTAAAGAAACAAACCATATTTTTTTTTACCCATGTTTCCTTTGTCTTCAAAAGGTCAGTTTATCAAAGCAACAAATTGTACCTTTGGTAACTAAAGGTCCAAACTGTACCTGGAAGACATTAAATTCTATAGTCCCTTGTTGTTGCCTATAGTTCACTATGTTCCTACCATGGCATACCACCCCACTCAGGAACCTTGAATCGAATATGTTGAATAACATATAAAGCCTAATAATTATAAAGGATAATAAATATGATTTTTTTCCTTTTTTTTTATTCAGGGATGTTAAAAAGCAGCAGTAGCTCTTCAGACCCCTTATCTGACTCTGAAATCCCATCTGCTACATGCCTACATAAGATATTGTGCCAACAACAGTGCACTACGCCATTTCTTCTGGTGATATAAAATTGTGCCAAGAGGGAGACAAGAAAATTAATTTTATTCCTCAGGTGAGGAAGGCAACACAAGGAAGAGTAATGTCAAGTAAGCAATAAGCATACCCCTGACTACAATAAACTAAATATGCCACTGTAGCCAAATATCCTTTATAGCTGTTTTTCATAAAACGTATAGGAATTAGACATTCGAATCAGGTGAACAAATTATCTTGTCAATACAGTCAGGCTGCTGGTATTGTTGTTAGCTGATATGCTAACGTCATATGATAAAACATGATGTTTTCTTGCTTGAAAATCAAGTCAAAGATATCTATTTACACAACCAAGTCATCTTGCTGAGTTCTGAGTTTGGATTAGTTACCATGTAAATGATCAGTTTATACTGCAAAATTGCGATCATAATAAACCCAATGTTAATTATGCCTTTTAAAATTGGCCAAGGCTGGAACTAACAAACAATTAGGGAATCATAAAATATAGAAATAGCTGAATAAAGTGATAAATATGCTTTCAAATTATTTTAACTGCACATAGAAACTGTTTTGAAATAGTATATATTTACCAAACAGTGGGGACTCGGGAAAACACATCCTTCCTTGTGGAGTGTGTGAAATTGCTTTTTAGTCATCTGTCCAGAGAATGTGAGTGTTTATATGGCACTTCAAGGCTTCTGTGTTTTGCTTTGGATGTTTTGCTTATTATACCCTTGTTTCACATTGTGGTAATCTATTTCCTGTTGTCCTGTGGCTTTTGCAGAATGTTTTGAAGCATTGCAACCTTTCTTAAAAATCATACTTCCTCAGACACACACACTATACACACACTTCCTGTAAGTAAACAAATACTTAATCCTGTAGCTCAGTGGTTAGAGCACTCGCTTTGCAAGCAAGACACCGGGGTTCAATTCCAGGCAGGGCGAAACCTTGGGCAAGTTTCCTTACTCCACACACCTAATAATAATCCCTCCAAAACAAAACAATAATAAATTGGTCATTTTCAATCCACGACTGTTTGTGGGACACTGCTATGGCTGCTGTGTTTTGCCCACTAATATACGGTCAATTCACTTTACGCTTTGAG